CCGTCCCGTTGTTCCCCGGTCCATTCCCGCCCATGCCTTCTTTTTGCTCTGGCCGTTTCACTGCTGCGACTGTTTCAATTTTCAACGTCCCGATTCCTCTGCAGTCCTGCTGTGAGGCCTCATTGGCGCCTTGTTGGCCCTAGCTCCCGGCAGCGACCAGTCTCCCTGCTCCCTGCTTAGGCAATTGGGGCCTCCTCTCCAGGGCTGTCCCGGAGAGAACACCTCCCCGGTCGTGTTCCGGCAGCCTCATTGGCCTCGTCTTGACTACTCTGCCCTCTTGATGGTTTTGCCATCTCTGTCCGCAGAGGACCTTCTTCGTACTGTAGGAAGACCCTCCAGAACGGCCGTCGTCGCGTTACCGTGGTTCCAGTAGAGCACAGCCTGACCGGCTAACCCGTGAACCATCCAAAAGCCGCCAGAACCCCCGCCTCTCGTCGTCCTGGGTCCTTTCCCTTGGGAGCCGGGTGCGTGTGGACAAACTGCCTTTTTCTTGCCTCATAAACACCTCTGTCGTTCTTTTTCTTTTTGTTTGCTATGTGCTAGTTTTTTTTTTTCTTTCTTTTTCACCGAACTCCCTCATCAATACCATCCATCCGGTCCAACGGGTCACAGGCCTTGCCGGAGAGGTCATCGATCTGCGTTGGTCCGTGTGGTTTATTCTTCCTACGACGTCGTCAGGCCTCTTTCTCTGCGACAGACTCGCTTGACATGAGCAGCAGGCAAGGAAAATTCCAGCCGTCGTCAGTACCAAATCCGTGCAGACCTTGAATGGCTCGATTGCATTTCGGTCCGGATGTTTCACAACGCTCAACTCTCGTCTCTCTCTCTCTTTTTATGACTTTCCTTTTCTAGCTCTCTTGCGCTCCGATCACGATCTTTGCGACTACTGTCTTCCCACATGTTTCGCAACAGGTACGAACGCAGACAACGCGTATCACCATCTTGTTGCCCATTCAGAATGTCACTCCTAACTTTGCATGGCGCGTTTGATAGGATATCTTCCCAAAGGCCGGACGAGGGGCTCATCAACAAGTTCAAGAAGACCTTCCCAGATGTCGTCTCGGGAGCCTCTTTGGTCAGAGATACCTTAAAGACCATCAACCACGCTGCTGTCGAGTCAGAAATGCAAGGCAGGTAGGTCTTCCCACGAAGTCGTGTCCTTATTGGAATTTTAGTGCTGAAACCAGCGGCGTTTCTGCAATACAGGTCTGGTACCGACAGCGAGGGCATCAAAATCAACGATCCGACTCCTCGGGCTATTCAAGATTTCAGATTCACACCGTCCTCGATGGATCCCAACTCGTTCTCTTTCATGTCGCTGGCAAACCAGCCTCCAGGCTATTATACGCCCGCTTCAGGAGACATGGCTACGATTTACCATCACGCTGAGTATCTTCACACGCCCACCCTGGGATCCGATCTTGTCACTCCACTATCCATTCAAAACAGCCTTTCTGGGGGCCTTCCGATTGACCCAAATGCGGACATAAGCATGCACGGCTTTCATGATCAATTTCTCCCGCACCAGTTCCAGAATCCGAATCCGTTTGCACAACAAGTATCGTATTCACATAGCACGTTCGTCCATCGTGATTCGGGCTGCGATCCGTTAGATCGATCAGGGGAAGAGTCATCTCTGGATCCTATGAACATTCAGGAAACTCAGCCCTTGGATCTGGTGGCACCAACAGCTGGTTTTTCGGAACAAATGGACATCAGCTCCATGATAGACCACGAGAAGTGAGTTTGAGCAGAATTTCATGCTAGTTTCCCCATTCCAGATCCGGCATGTGCTGTCGCCGTGAAGAATATCGTTGACCTCTCTCCCTCAATTTCCCAGATTTCGCTACCTTGTCACGCTACGCGTGCCGACGGCTATGATCAAGCATCCGGATGAGATACCTGTGACTTACCTTAACAAGGGACAAGCTTACTCAATCTCGGTAGCAGACACAGCTCCGCCACAGGTGAGCACACAGCCGCTCAAGTATCGGACCTATATCCGCGTGTCTTTCGATGACGAACAGCAACGTTCAAAACCGGCCGCTTGCTGGCAATTGTGGAGGGAGGGCCGCGGGTCGAATGAGGCTCATCAGCGGGGTGGGAAGCTTCTAGCTGTGGAATACGTGGATCCTATCCAAGGCGGAGATGACGAGAATCGCCGCCGTCAGATCGAGCTTGAGAGCGCATCTTTTGATGGCTTTTGCGTGACTTGGACTCCCAACCCAGTTACCGGAACGTCTGACTGTGCAATTTCGGTTCGTTTCAACTTTCTCTCAACCGATTTCAGCCACTCCAAAGGTGTCAAGGGAATCCCCGTGAGATTATGTGCCAAGACGGAATTGTTGTCTCCTCGAGACGAGAATTCTGATGCTCAGAGCCCGGAAGTCTGTTACTGTAAAGTCAAGCTCTTTCGGGATCACGGCGCAGAGCGGAAGCTTTCCAACGACATTGCCCATGTAAAGAAAACCATTGAGAAGCTCAAACAACAGATCGCGCAACTAGAGATGCGAGAAGGAAATCTCAGTAAACGCAAGCGCAGCAGCGGCTCTATCGCTGTCAGGCCTTCCGACAATCGACCTGGCAAGGTTCCCAAGCATAAGCGAACCTGGTCGATAGATTCGCAAAATGATGACTCGGGAAAGCCCTCTGCGGAGGAAGATCTCCATCTGAAGTTGGCGATGATGCAGGACATGTTCTCCTCCACCCGGCCCGTGAGCGTTTTTAGTCTGAGAGGAGATGAGCACGATGACCCAGACCTGTACCCAGTCATTCTCCCTGGTGACTTGCATGGCTCCACTTCCCGCCAGAGCACCCAGGAGTCGGCTCTCGGTATCGATACAATCTCCGGAGTATCCAACATTCTCTCTCCCACGACCAGCAGTGTCTCCATTAACTCTCCTCGTCATCCTGTGGAACAGCAGCAAGGATATGACAATGTGGACTGGTCGAGCGCTCCTGTGCATCACTCTCTATTAAATCAACCGGTGAAAGTTCAGAAGCTACCCCGCGACGGTACATCAGGTTCCGCTGGATACATTGAGGCAATCGATATCGACCCCACATATAGGCCTCCGGCTGAGCGTCCCCCTAAACCTAGTAAGTTTCTCTCTGAAATTATTCTTGGAGTTTGTGGGCTAACACCTGGCCAGTTGCTTGCTTCTATATCCGCTTCTCGAGCGAGCACTCTGGTGATGACTACTACCGGGCGGTTTACCTTAGTAAGCGCACCGTCCAAGATTTGATGGTGAAGATCTCGGAGAAACGCAAGATCGATCCCGACCGCATTGTCCGCATTCTTCGCGTCAATCACAATGGTCTCAAGATCATGGTGGATGATGATGTCGTCCGGGAGCTTCCCGAGGGCCAGGATATGGTTGCGGAGTTCTCCGAGACGAAAACCGAGTTCGACACCCCGTCTTCCGCTGTGGAAGTCAAATTAACATATTAAGCTGGCATAAGCTTGGTATTTTCTGTGGATACAACTTTGTTCCATAGATTGATGTTCATCTGGATTCCCACTTGTTTCCACCCTTCACGCGATCCGGGTGGGTTGCTTCTCGGGAGCGATGATTTCGATATCGGCCCTCCTGCAATCATTTGACTGCAGCCTTTCGTCGCGCCTGAAATGGATTTCGCATAGCTGATTTTGGGTCCATTCTCAGGCGGCTTTCTGGTATCTTTATTCTTATTTGTTTCTCCTGCTTTTTTTAATAGCCGATTGAAGAAATGAATACCGCACGAGGACGCTCCTGTCCTCACCTGATCGTTGATTCATCCTCTTTTGTATGATTCTTTCGATCTCACCGGCGGTTGGGAACATTCACCATGTTCACCCAAATATATCTCTCTGACTCGACTCTTTCTGGCAGGTTTGAATGTGCATCTCTAATACCGGTCCTCGGGAGTCTCTTGGTTCTTTTTTTTTTCTGGCTGTCTGTTTCTGGGGCGTTGAGTACGGGGATGATACACGAGTCTCCGAGCAATGATACCCATGGTGTTATAGTTTTGTTATAGTTTGTGTATTTTGTTTGCTTGTTCTTTTTTTATGGCTGCTTCGTGAAATCTCAATGGCGTTGACGGCCCTTGGAGGCGATAAATGGGTCTTCGGGGCACGATGGCAAAGTATAACATTTCTATACATACATGCAATCTTATTTTCTTTTCCTTGTCCTTTTTCCCCCCTATTATTCCTGTTTTGGCAGCTTAACTACCTCTGTTCTTTTCAGACGTCGTGGTACGCAGCACACGAAATTGATACCCCGTTCCTATTCACAATACAGGATTGTGTTTGCAATTTTTGACTCACGGACTTCGAATACTACCGCTTTTCTGAACGATGTCACAGAGTACGATCAATCACTAGTAAACATAGCTACTCCGTCTCGCAATCACATCTAATCTGGGAAGCACGTCTCAACGCTTCACCGGCTCTATGACTTCACTGCTCCTCGGAGGATCTCGGCAGCTTGCCCTTTACGTAAAAGTGGTCCGTACCCTAAGCTAGATGACCCGCTTTATGTGTCTGTTCAACTGACAACGTCGTCGACTCGTCCATCTTTATCTACATGCAGTTAATCGACAGAGATGACTTGTTCAACCGGACATCGTGCCGATCTGTTGGGGGGCGCGGAAAAAAAAAAGTGGAAAGGGAAACACGCAGACTTTAGGTCTTGGCAATGTGAAAAGGTGGACGAGTGACAGTTTCCTCCGTGTTGTTAGATGGAGATGAGAATAGATCCATTCCATTCCATACAGTATGTATGTCCTTACAGTAGCCGTAAGGCCTGCAGAGGTAACTGTATTACCCTGTAAGGAGTACGGATAGATAGATCGCTGTCGGGGCCAGTGGGCATGCCATGCCATGCGATGCCATCTCATCGTTTTTCATGCCGAGACTGTTAAATGGTTTGAATTGTAAAGCCTGAGCTCTTGAACGTTTAATTCCCTGTGGATGTGGATAACCCTGTCCGGTGATATTCCCTCCTATTATTACCTCTCTAGCTAATATTTGCATATCAGGTCAGGGAGAACCTCATGTGAAGTACTTTCTGTACTTGTGTAGAGTACGTTAAACACGGATTTAGATACGGAAGAGTAGGGTACGAAGTGCATATCTATACTTACTTACGAGGGTCCATTGCCGTTCCTTCGTCTGCCAATAGTAATTCAATCGAGTCCAGATGAGATAAGTAAGCAGACAGCATGGAGTGAAGTAAAATGTGTCACCGGTCTTTTTCTCTTAGTCTCATAACTTGAGGTCGTATTATCAAGAACCTAACCTAATCTTAACCACAACTCTGGGTCCATGGTTCCAAGATGTGCCATTTCATTAGGTTCATGGTTCCTGTGCCAGAAAGGGAACCTTATCACTGGTCAGGTATGTAGACTTATCAGGATGAAAGTCTATGTTATTGGATCCCAAGTATGAGTTTTATATTCCTATCGTTGGACGGTGAATAAATACACGCGTGAAATGGATGGAAGGCGCGGTTTGTGCCAATGACTCACTCAGTCTTCTGTACACGTTTTAGACCAGATGGGATAGATAACTTGTGAATTCCTGGCCTTAATTGGAGAAGCAAATATATGGTTGCACGGACTGGTTGTTAGGGCTGGCGACTACAGTACCTAGTATGAAGCCCTCAGGTTCTATATCAAGACTCATCGACCAAACAACGGGACCGTAGAACAACAGAATGAATGGTCAATGGTACGGGGTTTCCAATGTGTTTTTCAAATGCTATGGCGAAGTGAGACGACTTCTGCATTTATATAGGACTTCACACGGCTACACCCGACAAGAACAGGAACAGAGCATTTCATCTCTGACCTTCTTCTTTCTGTGATCGTTGCCTTGCCTTCCAACCAAAAACAGTAATATGGAATACTCCGCTGTCGACTACATTCAGGGAAAGACCGGAGAACGAAACGTCTACGTAATAAGATCTCTCATATCTAGATGTAGATTAAGGAAACAAACAGGAGATTCCATACACAAGCCATCTGTATTCTCGTACGCGCATTTGTTTACAGGAAATTGCAGCTGCGATCTCGCAACTAAGGCTGGAGGTTCAATTACAAACACTCAAGACCAAAGTTGATGACAGATTTGAGGTCTGCGTGCTGATATCCATGGCAACCAGGTTAACCAGCCATCGACTTCGTTTGTTTTTGCCCTGCTACTCGGATTGCAGCTCTCAGGGCGCCTTCGTTCCTGCGTGCTACAGGCTGCCTCTTCCCAACCGGACGGTACTTGCCAGACTAGGCGCCTGCTCGATTGGGTCGCCCTCAGAGCGTGACTTCCCTTGTTGTCGTGCTCGTCACTTCTGCCTGCCTTATGCGTTGTGCCTCGTGCCACCTTCTTCCTGCGCGTATAAAACCACCCCTCTGGTCCCTTCTTCCCTTTCTTTCTTCTTCTCTTCTTCAACCCACCATTCTCTCTCAAGCTCCATCACCGCCATCGGCTTCGATCCCTGTAACCCTCATCTTCCACTCGTTTCTGACTCCATCGTCATCGTCCTTCGCTTGTTCTTTCATCTGTCCACACAAAACAATCCCAGATCGTCGTCGAGATGATGTTCACCAAGGTCATCATGTTCCTCGCCGTTTGGGTCCTTGCAGCCCTGGGCATGGGTCAAAGTAAGTACTTCCCTGTTGAAGCACAGATTTCATCCTTCCTCATCATTCCCATCCTATCCCGGACGAATGAAACCATGAGTCATCATTGTTGCATGTCGTGCTTGCACTGGACTGACGCGTGGAAATTTTTCCTATTTCGAAGACCTCGAGCTTCGTGACAATGCTCTCCGTGCTGTCCTAGGTAAGTGTCACGAGTATCAGAATGTTAGTCCTGTGCATGTTCTGAAGATCTTTTCTGCAGACGAACTTGACATTCGCGGAATCGACGAAGCGGCCATGATTGAGAAGTTTCGGAAGGTTCTTGCTCGTGACAGTAAGTAACTCAATTTGGAAAGATGACGCTGAGAGTTTGCCTGTTGACCGCTAAATTCACCAGTTACCTCGACCGTCACCGTGCCCAGCTGCATTGCCATTCCCACTACAGATTCCTCTGGTAGCTGGACTTCGGCGACGGTTGTTACTGTGACCATTCCGGGGTCCTCCATTCCTGGCGGAGACTCTAGCATCCCGACTTCTTCTTTCCCTACTTCGAGCACGGATACGGATACTTCTATCCCACTGCCGACTACTTGGCCTTTCCCTGGCACTACCATCCCTGGGCTGCCGACTACTATTCCTGGACTGCCGACTACCATCCCTGGGTTGCCGACTACTAATCCTGGACTGCCAACTACTATCCCTCTGTCCGACACTACTGTCCCAGGGGAATCTGGAAGTCTGACACTTCCCACTACTATCCCGGGTACTATCCCTCTGTCCGACACTACTGTCCCAGGGGAATCTGGAAGTCTGACACTTCCCACTACTATCCCGGGTACCATGACCTCCAGCACCATCTCCAGCTACTGCTTCAGCCCCAAGCCACCCAACCTCTCCTTCCACTGCCCCTAACGCTAACAACGCATTGCGTAATGAGGGCTTTGGTGCCGCTATCGTTGCCATGGCGGTGGCTCTTGGTACTCTTGTTGCCATGTAAAACTTCATGCAACTCTGGTGCTGCTGCTTCGTGCACGCAAACACCAGGGCATTTGTTGTTGCCAGATCATTCTGTCCTTTCGTCAGGTGTCTCGAACAGTTGATGTTTGAAGCGTGAGGAGGTGATCATTTTTCTTATTTCTTATGTGCATGTATGGGCATCCTACACGTTTTTTTTTCCAATCATCTCCAACGGAGGGTTGTAGGTAGCTTCAAGATTCACATCGCCGGCTATTGCCGCACCTAATCAGAAAAACTAATTGATTTCAAATTGAGATCACTAATTGTGCCTGCTTTGGCTAAGATCGGGTATCTAATATAAGCAATAAGTATGATCACGACATTGGCATGACATCATCTTGCAATGCAGGATGAATATCAACATATGCGAAAAAAAAAAACAGCCCATTATGCCATTGCTTACAACACCTGGCATATCCTCGTAAAACCCCTCCCTCACTAGGAGACAATCCTTACTCAATGTCGGACGATTTCGACAGGACGGAACGTAAGGAATAATATATCCTTTGCCACTTTGGCCGACAACTCTCGTCACCCGCGATGATTCACGCATCGGCGCGGAGGAAGCAACAGCAGAGCTGTTTGAGACCGGACGGGCGTCAGTCTCTTCTATCCCTTTCGATGGGACGGCCTGCAAGAATTACAAGGTCCCTCAAATCTGGCAGGGAGAAAGTGAACGAGGCGGCCCAAATTCCCTGGAATCTTGTGTCTTTCTTTTCCCTCATCTCTTTTCTCTTTCACTCCTTTCTAGTCCCATTCATCATGGTGATTTAACCTGCTCACTATCCGGAGCAGCAGCCTTCTCGACTTGTCTTCCCAGCGCGCAGATTCGGCATCCTTCGCCGATCCGGTCCCGTATCAGTCGAGCCGTTGTCACCTTGGGTCCGACCGTCCGCGACGTCGTGAAGTATCCGGGTTCATCCGCCTCTGGGTCTGCGTCTGCCGTGGCGGGTTTGGACGGTGATGGTGAGGGCGAAGGAAGTCGCTCGGTGATATCATCTGCTGCTGGTGGTGTTTCACCGGTTGGTTGCGTGGGCCCCTGGAGATGGGAGAGATGGAAGACGTGGCCGCAGGCGAATCCGACGAGGATTTCCTTTTCTGTTCGTTGTCACGGCAAGCGAGTTAGAAAGAAGTTAATCTCCTTCATTGCTTTACGAAGATGGTGTGGGAAAGTTTCAAGAGGGGAAGAGTGCAAAATCTTACCGTTTTCATGGAAAGCCTCATAGCAGCCTCCGCATCGACCCGGCTCGACGGTACGACGAGACTTGGCCGCCGCGGCGTTTTTGCTATCGGGACTTCCATCACTGTCAACATGATCCCCACCAGCCTCCTTCTGGCCGACTTCAGCAACCACAGGGATTGCTGCTCCTTGCGACTGCCCATCCTGCGGTTTGATGACGTCGAACTTGATCCCGCGCCGCTGCCCCCGTCGTAAAGTGTCCATGGCAACTGCCACCTCACTCTGCAGAACTTTGGCTGCTCCTTGGCTGATGCTAGCCTGGATGTCGTGATCTCGGATCATACGAGTCAGGCCCTCTCTCAACCCTTCAATCTCCAACCCGCTCGGGATCCGTCGAACCAGCTTGATAGGGTCAATGGACGTTCCGGCTTCGGTGAGCAGCGCATGGATGAACGAGGGCTTGTTCATCGAATAATTGAGCAGATCCTCCCAGAGATCGGGGTCATCCTGTGACTTGGCGAACGAGATCGCTTGCGACACATCCTGCAGATCGGACAAGATCAAATTCAACGCTCGCTTCGTCTGGCCTGTCTTGGAGAGAAGATAGATGAGTTCTTGGGTATAGTGCCGTGTCTCACAAATGGTGCAAGCGGCATCGAACGAATAGGCAGTACTGGACTGCAAGAATTCCATGAGCAGAGACCGGTCATAGGCGGCGAAAAGCTCTAACGCAGTGTCCGCAAAAGGCTCTACGAGTGTTTTACCTTCATCTGCCGCAAGCTTTTCTGCAGCATCCCTCGCGCGGCGACCCCGACCCCGGGGGTGAGGTTTATCTGTTCCGGACGGGTGGGCTTCCCCGTGCCAGAGGGCACGGAGGTAGAAATAGAGGTAGGGACGTCGATCCTCGTCTTGCAACTGAGATACAACCGTCTCTGGTCGGACGATACCATTGTACGCCTCCCTAACAAGGATCTTGATGGGTTCCGCTGTGGCTTCCTCCAGCTCCGAGAGAGGAGCCGACTCGATTTGTTGTTTGGAGACACGGAGGAGAATAAACCCAAAAATGTCGTCAGATACTGCATCGACTAGTCGATAATCTCGGATAATGCTGAGAGCAGCTTCGGCATCCTGTAAGCGAATATAGCAGCGAAGAGCTTCACGGTGGCGCCCATCGGCCGAAAACAGCTTGGCGAGACTTTCCATCAAAATCTGCCAATCTTCGGAATCACGGACGATGGTCTCGGATTTCAGTTGGTTTTCGATTGCTGCCGTGACACTGCCAGTGTCGAAAAGATCAGGCGACCACTGGTCCAACAGTTCCTTGAACCTTGATCGGTCGCGAGCGACATAATGGCCGAGAATCACCTCGTACACCAGTGACGGGAGAGGTGGATGTAGCTCGACGGGGACATATGGAGTAATCTCGTCGAATTTGCCGTTCTTGACGAATGTCCATATCCAATGCTCCCATCTAGTAACGGTATCCAGGACTTTCCCGCACACCTCCCCAGCTTTCTCCCACTGGTTCTCGCTAACAAGCTGCTCAAGCCAGAGTTCGCCAATACGTCGCTTCTCTTTCTCCGGGATTGTATTAGACGCTCGACCCACCGTTATGACCGACGAAGTGTCATCGGCAAAGAAATCGGCAAGACTACTTCGGGATCTTGTGGAAGACTCGACAACGCTGTCAGTTCGATCCGTGGCCGGGTTTGCGGCCTCAGGATGCTCGTCAATGAGGTGCCAGGCTTCCTCATATCTTGCATGTGACTCGAGCCACGACAATCGATCTGCGAGGTCCCTCTGAACAGCAACCACACAATCGTAGGGACTGTGTATGAAGATCTTGGGGCCTTTGGCTCCAGAAACGGCCAATATCTCTGGGGGCAGACCTTGTCCGCTGGAAACTGGGTTGGAGATGAACGAGCTCGGGGCCCTGCCAGAACCCTTATCGCCACTGCTTGCGTTGCTCCGAATGCTTGCACTGGAACTGAATAACCGTGCAGGGTACATGGTCGCATCCCAGAGACCATTTCCCAAAACCCCTAATGCTCCTCGCTGAACAGGCTCAACGGAGATCTTTGGCGCTGGTAGCCTGCACATGTGATAATCTGACGAGGAAAGGTTCTCATACCGGCTGACAGAGAGTGTGTCGGCGCTGATTTCTTCCTTCGTTTCAATGTCAATCAGACGCAATTCAGGCTCGGCAGCCCTCTGCCTGTGACTGCTTCGCGGTCGAGGACTGCCCTGCTGTTCAGACTCATCTTCCTCTGCCTCTATGTATGCGAGTACGAGAAGTAGATTGCGGGTATGCATCGAGACTCCGGAAATGATACAATCTGTGCGTAGACTAGCAAACAGTTAGCAGGCAGATAACGAGAACTGAGAGGTGAAGACACGAACATCGTAGCAACTTCCGCTGCGCCCAGTCTCTTTTCGCCGATGCGGCTTGCAGAAGGCGTCACTCTGTCGGGGAATACATTGATGACCCAGATAGTACCACCCCAGCCCACGACAAGTTTTTCGACTTTTTGGTTTGCCTTTAAGATGCTGGAGGTGCCCGAGTCACCCTGGTGAGCAGATCCGGGCTGTGATCCCGCGTTTTCGTCGCTTTCCAAGGAACTCTCGTCGACCCACTCCAAGTGAGCTTTCCAGACGCCAGCCATTTCCTCCCATCCCGGACGATTTGGTCGGTCGATGTGGTTGATACGAGTCCACGCATGCTCTGATTCAGATGACTCTAAGTGCAGATGAGAACGCATGATCTTGATGCCCTCTTCATTGACCCAAGCGACGTATTTCCCCGACAGCGACCACTTAATAGTGTTAATAGCTCCCTCTCCGCTATGCAATACGGTATCCTTTCCGGTATTTGTCCCAAGACCAATCGAACCCAGCCATCCTGAAGCCGCTGCGGCAGCACCGCCCAAAGTTGTAGAGTTTGTGCTTGCCCCTATCCGTCCACCAACGGTCAGTATCAACTGTCCAGCTCTGCCTCCGGACAGATATGTCCTGTCGCTTTTGTACTCTGGAGACAACGCAACAGCCTGAACGGGCCTGCCGAAATTCCTGAGGAGGATATCCTTTGGGTCAACTAGAGAAGCGACACACACGTTGCCGTCAATAGACGAAGTTGCAATATAGATTGAGTTGGATGGCGTTGCAGGCAGAACAGGCTGCTGAGGGCCTTTAGATTTGCCCCCGCGTAGAGACCCAGAGGGGGACTTCACATGAATGCTTTCTTCTTCTTCAAGGATCCTGTTCGAGTCATTTGGTCGGACGGTAGGTAACGGAGGTGGGAATGGTGATATGGACACCGAAGTGACGCTCGCAGAATGCGCACGGTAAGCGCGGAGAGGCCTGAAATGAGGTAACGATAGTACATGCTATCGAGGGTCAACAGAGGACTTATCAGACACCCTCAGCGAATTGGATGCTTACGACGTTGCCATTATGGGTTCCAACTATCTATAAACATCTGGTTAGGTCAAAGCTCACACGTCCTGGAGCTCCTAGATAGCGTACCATTTTATCTCCTCCAGCCAGAAACGCGCTTGTTGCATCTCCGTTGCGATATAACGAGGACAGGTGCCTGGTTAGGTAAGCGTATTTCAAACGAGGCTCCTCGTCTTCCTCCTCTTCATCCTCATCCTCCTCATCCTCCTCATCCTCGTCACTTTCCTCGCCATCTTCGCCGTCATCATCGTCGTTGCCGTCGTGAGTCCGTTCGTTATCGTCTTGCGCCCGATAGTCGGAAGGGCCAGCTTCGGTAGGAGACGACAAGACCTGTGCACCCGACTCCCTCTGCTCCACCTCACCCTCACGACCAGCGGCACTGCCGTCTGCGGTGCCAGGCGACTCCATGGCAGGCGCTTTGCATCTGCGCGCGTAGCTGGAGCTTCAATAGAGCGAAGGTCCAGACCAGACGCAGGGAGAGGCTGGCTGGCTGGGGTACGAGAAGCTGATGACTAAGCAGCCGGCCTGCGCAATGACGAAGTCGGTATCGGGAGACTCGAGACGGCAACGCGGAGCATTCGGAACCACACAGGCAACGTTGTACGGAGCCATTGTTTCTTAACACAAAAATTCTTGTCTTTCTGGGTATTCCACCGTTTATTGATTTTTTGTGTTTTTGTGTTTTACATGATAGCATAATCCCGCCCTCGATGGCCCCGACTGTGCCGTCGAGAGTCCGCAGAGCTTCGTCGCCATGTTTGCCCGTCCTTATATCTGCTCACCATGCAGAACGCCCATGGTATCCGGACCCTTGAGACAACCGCGATACCAGCCCCTGCATGTGTCGTCACCTTTCGGTTTCCCTCGACGAAAAGAATTTTTCTCCTCGAACGCCTTGTTGAAGCAGAAGCAGAACCAGAACCAAAACCAATCAGATGATATATCCACCGAGTCCGTCGCAGAGACCCTCCAGAAGCAAAGGCGAAAAGCCAGCAGATCTCCCGCTGCCAACACCTCCTTACGTCGAGTTGCGGTCGAAGCACAAAGGTCGAAGGATGGAATTCTGTCAAGGAGTATGCTATCAGAGAAGGGGCTGGAACAAACAAAGGTGGAATAAACCGAACTCAATTCGATATTGTATTTGCTGATCTGGAACAATAGACGGTGACTGCCTATGCGGTGGCTGAGAAATTCAACATTGCCAAGGTTAAGGACATTCTCCAAGAGAAAGGCTACGAACCAGACCCTTTCGATACCGGACTATATCCGCAAGTTGTCCACATCCAAGTTCCCCTTGACTCGATCCGTCGAATGAGCAATCCCAACATGACCGATCTTCCCTCGAATGAGGCCGGAGACGTCTTTGTTTTTCCTTCCGGCACTGTTGTCGCCTGGTCCCTTCCGGAGAGCTTTACTTCCTATCTTGCTACCAAAACCTTACTTCCCGCGGCGGAGGGGCCACACATTGATGACATGGAGACAGAGGACCTGGAGTTTATCGAGGATCCTCAGCGAGAGGTTAGCAGCATAAAGGGGGATACCATCATCCTTGGGACCAAGCCTGGACCAGATTCCGCCGAACCTCCGCCACCACCGAATCGACAAACCGTCCATACGGTTTTGACCAAGATCGCTTTCTCCTCCGGGCTGGCTCGGAGTACGAAACTTGCCGTGCTCGAGAGCCTTCTTTCCAACTATTTCGAATCGACACGTGACATCCCAACGCTATTGTCGCAAGGCTCCCGTCTGCCATTCACTAGGGAGTTCATTCTTCGGAAGACGGGTCAACTCCTCAGCGTCCGAGCGCAACTCAACCTCTACTCCGAATTGACGGATTCTCTTCCTGATATCTTCTGGGATAGTCGCCACGAGCTCGGTCTCGAGGGCTACTACGAGCAGGTTGGGAGGGCCCTGGATGTGGGGATTCGCATTAAAGTCTTAAACGAGAGGATGGACTACGCGCAGGAGATCGCTAGCGTTCTCCGGGAGCGGCTGAGTGAGAAGCACGGTCTCCGACTTGAGTGGATCATCATTCTACTCATCGCGGTAGAAGTAGGGTTTGAAGTGTTGAGATTGTGGAAAGAACGAGATCACGAGGGACAGACAAAGCGATCTGAAGAATGATATTGTCTCTAACGGCCTTTCCTTTCGTTTTTGTCTTATTTTTTGGAAATTATTTATGATACCCTACTCTTAAAGCCGGAAGAGAAAAATATATAGACCAACTTGCAAAGCAGCAGAGACCATAGATCTACGTCATCCTGTATTTTAGTGCGTCGAATCTACGGAGACTTGGCTGCAAAAGAATGTCATTTTATATAAGCCTTGGTAGGACTGACGAATGCAAGGCCAGGCTAGTCGCTTCGTCATGCTGTGTACGCAGGTACCCATGGAAACTGACCAATAGAGTGTGGGGGAACACCTGTCACACCCCAGATATGCTTAGGTCATCAGGTCATCCGACATAACTAGCTGCAGCAGGGTACGTGACTACATGTAATGTGTCTGTTGACGCCTCTGAAGATAGCTCTCAACTGAATTATCCTTATATTTTGATCAAAGCGATAATGAATGCTGCATTTCTGGGAATGTTGAACAAATTTTGAAGCTTGAGTGGACCTCTGAAGTCGACAACCTGACCTAGTAGAAGCTATCAGGCAGACAGCGAGTACATTCGGGACATACGGTGTACCTGAAGCTACATTCTATCTCGTGCCCTGTACAGCTGCAGCATTTTTACACTGTAGGAGATGCCAGGGCCACAAGAGATTTTAAAGACGGTTACCAGCTCCCTTGGTCTGCTGGGTCTACAGAGCCCGCTCGGGCTCCATTCATCGGAAGATGGGTACGCTGCCTGTCCAAAACCCGAGTTGAGCTGCCAGACACGATTCGATAGCCAAGACACTTGCTGCTTTAACTACCCCGGTGGGCAGTTTCTTCAGACACAGTTCTGGGATGCAGATCCTGCTGTTGGTCCGGATGATTCCTGGACGATACACGGGTTGTGGTAAGTTTGGAAACTGGGCAGCTTCTCTCTCTCTCGTCCTTCCTTTTTCTTTCCTGCTTATGCTACATTTCAGCCTATTGGACATCTCTTACGATCTCCTCTGTTAGGCCAGACCATTGCGACGGGAGCTTTGATCAGTATTGTGATTCGTCCAGGCGATATAGCAATATATCCCTGATTCTCGTCGACTCTGGTCGAGCCGATCTGCTCGAATTCATGCAAGAGTATTGGAAGGATTTACGTGGAGATGATGCCAGCTTGTGGGAGCACGAATGGAACAAGCACGGCACCTGCATTAGCACGCTGGAGACTCGGTGCTACACGGACTATATTCCGCAACAGGAGGTCGTCGATTATTTCAACAAGACGGTCGAACTCTTCCAGTTCTTGCCTTCCTATGAGGTGTGCCCCAGTATTTCCTTTTTTTTACCTTTTTTCGAAATTTTGAATGCCATTATGCTTCGAAGGGAAATATTGCTATTGAAAACTGACATCTACTTTTCTGTGTCCTATCCAGATTCTAGCCAAAGCCGGAATTGTCCCATCTCACGAAGAGGTGTATTCCTTGGATGAGATTCAAAACGCGCTGAGAGAGGCTCATGGAGCTGAGGTCACTGTACGATGTCGACACAATTCCTTGAATGAAATATGGTACCACTTCAATGTCGCAGGAAGACTGCAGACTGGGAAATTCATGCCCGCCGATGCAGGTTTGTGGTCCCATTCTACGAGTGCGAATGAGAGCGACGAACTATGTTCTCAACACTGATCATCTTCTTCAGTTGGCCCTTCGTCGAATTGCCCTCGAACAGGAATCCGTTACCCTCCCAAGAGGTCACCCCCTACCAGACCAAAACCGACCACAACTACTTCGCATAGCGGACCCGAACCAACAGGCCCGCCTGTTCTAAAAGGACACTTGAAAGTATTCACTCTGAACCACAGACGGGGATGCCTTATTAGCCGTGGTACCTGGTTCACGTCCGGCACGTGCGCAACGTTCAGAGCAAAGGATATTGAGGGTTAGTGACGGATATCTCCTCAAACAAGAAAATTAAAAACGATAATTAAGATAATATACTGACATTGACACCATAGGAAATCATTTAGACGGCGGATTCACTCTGGAATCCAGCAAAGGACCGTGTACATTCGAGGAAGACATCTTCACCTGTGGGCCATGGATCAAGAATCCTGTTATATTTCAGGTAGTTCCTTTTCCTCGTCATACCATATATCCATTATCCTGTCCCGAGACAGACAGGCAAGCAGACAGACAGACAGACAGACAGATAGCTGACATTACCTGACATGCACACATACAGCTACTCGACGACGGCAAACTCAGCTTCAACGGAAACGCCACTTTCTTCGCAGACAAAGCGCCCAAGGGACCCGTGCAGAGCAAGATCTTTGCCTCAAAGGAGGATCATCCGATCAATCTGGAGATCGTTTGGGATGCGCTATCATGAAAGAACGTGTATCACATCTCAATCAGAACCAAATGGGCCTACGTAGGCATTTGTTCGTTCGTTCATTTGTCCGTTTCTTCTATTTTTGGCTGTTTAATCAATTAGACTTTTGGATTGAAGACTTGGAGACAGCGAAAGGCAGGTCCTAATTATATAGAATATATATATAATTAGAAGAAAGACGACAACGAGCAAATTAACTGAAATGGCTGATTTATTGATTATTTTTGATTGACTTGCCTTGTTCCTATCTGCATCACTCGTGCCAGATATCTATCCCACCCAATCCAACGAAGGGAGATTATATAAATAGAATCAATAATTCGTTTTAGAAAGAAAGAAGGAAAGAAAGAAAGAAATTCGTCGTTCCCAAGTTCGCTGTGAGCCGTCTCGTCTCGTCACACAAAGGAAGGAATATATATAACCATGGATATACGTACCTAAGAATAGGAATGAAAAATAAAATCACCGGAAACAAAGCCAAGGAGACTGTCACGCGAGAGTGGTGGTGGGTGAGAGTTGTTTTCGTCTCTACACTATATAAACCCGACTCGGAACCGCCGCAAAGTACAGTTATACTCTGTTTACTTTACTATTACTATACGACACGACACGACGCGTTGAGGGCGCTTATGTGGCTTGCATGACTTTTCTGAACGAGTGGACGTCTTCTTGCAAATCTCGAAGATGGTGAACTTTGCTTCGATTATTTCTCCTCTTTCTTTTGTGTGAACCTTGATCTTCTCTTTGACCCCTCCCCTCTCTCTCTCTCTCGACAAGAGCAATTCTATTTATTACTCGGTCTTCTACAAGTGATGCCGTCATGATCAGATCAAATTCATTACTGCTCGGTGCTCACTAACGTACACGTCACCCACAAGAGAATTATCATTAAGGATGACACACGGGATGGCCAACCAACATTCATTCGAGTTCGTTCAAGGAAGGCAAAACATGACCGATCGCACACAAAGGAAACTCGTTTTCATACATCGTCTAAGGAACAGGGGGGACATTCAAATGAAATCGGCATAACAGGGCGTAACAACATAGCATGACATGAGACATGAAATGAAAGAAATGAGGCAAAGTCGGAGAATTGACACAAGAGGGAAAGAAAATGACATGGGGAAACTGGCCGAAAACATAACATAAAGATGAAAAAAAGACTCTACCGGTTCGCCCAAGGTACGAGCTGTGCCGGATCGTCGCCCAAAGAACCGCCGTATCGTCATTTCAAGAGAGCCGAATCGAATGTTGTACAGTTTCATTAAATTGCCCTCGAAAGGGTCAAAATCAAGAAGAAAAATTGAAATCCCAAAGAGCGAGGCCACTATAGTCGAAGACGTTCATTCGTTGTGAAGTCATGCCAGTCACATAAGCGTCATCAACGTGTCGTGTCGTGTCGTAACTCGTGTCGTGTCGTGTCGTATCGTGTCGTGTCCATATATCCCTATCCCCAACCAGAACGCCGGTAGAGATAGTCAAATACCAGATGTTTCTTTTCTCATTTCCTTTTGGGAAGCATGAGTCTTCGAACATAGTCCCAACTGTGAAGTAATGTGCAGCCCGTGGCTTCATCACTGGAAGAAGACATCAGAAGGATTGTCGTTGTACTCCACCAAAAACTCATCATTCAATGACGGCTTCCCCTGGAACAAATCCAAGTCACCAAAGGTGGATCCAGTTGCAAAGTCGGGCAAACTCGACATTTCAGACTCGTTGAAGCCAGGAAACTGGTCCTTATCAAAGCTGGACGAGGCATCCTGGTTGATGAAAAAGTCAATATCAGATTCGGTGGACGAGCCAGTAAGACCAGGAACCGTCTCAGGGGAGGACAAATTGTTGGCAGTCGAATTCATCGCGGCTTCTGAGTCGAGGCCTTCTGCGGCTTCCGAAATCGGTGGCAGGTCTGAAAGTTCCTCCGGAATCTGCTCCAAAGCCTGCTTAGATGGAGATCTGGTGAGGTTGCCGTCATCTGTGGATGGAGTGTATGGACGGTGGCTCCCGGCTGGAGAGGGCTTGTTGCCCGTGCTGTATCCAGGGGACGCTGGTGGAGTAAAGGTGAAGACGTCGGACGGCAGGCAGTAGTTGTTAGGCGCGAACATCGCAACCTCTTCCGTCGGGCTAGATCCACGAATGCTCATATTTTCAAAGCCTTTCGTGGGAGGAGAGCTGCAGGAGCTCTCTGAACCAGAGACCGAAGAAGCAGCCGCCTTCGCAGCAACCTTTTCACGAGTCCGCGCCGCCTTCTCCTGCCTCTCTTCCATATCTGGCCTGTTTTTCTTCGGCCGGCCACGCTTTGTTGTCTTTCTCACCACACCCTGATAGCCTCCGATACACATTCCTCGCTGCCTGTGGCGAGTCAAAGCATCATGTCGTGCGAAGACGTTTCCGCAGAGACATTCATAGGGCTTATCGCCAGTGTGGATCTTGGCATGCCGTTTGAGATCATGTCCACGCACAAAGCATTTGTCACAGTGATTACATTTGTATTGACGGTCACCAAGATGGGTTTGGATGTGAGATTTGATATTCTCCTTCCGTCCAAACCTTCTGTCGCAACCAGGATGCAGGCAGATCCACTTTCCGTCCTCGTCCGGTCCTGAAATGTACGAGGCGATTTCTTCGATCGTAATACCCGTCTCCGTAATGGAAGCCTTAATTCTGGAATCAAGGTTCAGACTGTCGATGGAGGCGGGCCGTGGGGACAACTTTGGTTTGGTGGAAGTCACATTGACCGGCTTCTTGGGGCTTGCACGGGAAGGGGTTGCTGGGACAATAGGGACTTTCGGGTTTTTCCCTGAATTCTCTCCAGGCAGAGGCATAAATGCGAGTTCTGGTGATGATTGGAATGACACCGACGCCGACGATGGCTGCGAATGATGCTGTTCCTCGCGCTTCGACGTGGTGTTGAAAGATTCGCTCTTGGTCACTGTCTGAAACTCTGAACTTTCGAAATCGCTCTCCTGATTGTTCGCCGTATCAAAGGGTTCAAAATTAATGGGAGCAGTGTCTGGGGGAGACGGCACATCGACCTTGGGCTCGGTGAAGTTGCTTCCAGGAACTCCCTGCAGCGACTTTGCTCGCTGCATGAACGCTGATTGGGGTGTTTGCAAATTCTTTGTGGGTGATCCATTGACGTTCTGACTGTATGGAGCAAGCTCCGAGGTGTGCCGGAATGGGGTTGTTGCCGGCGTGATTGGGAAGTAATCTAGGCACCATTAGGACGAGGGGTCTTCTGTCTTTGAAGTTGTTACTTACTGGAATTGATCTGGTTTATGGGGGTCGACGGTCTCTGTGAGTGTTGGCTCAGGTCCGACTGCACAGACATTCGTCTGATGCCGCCAGGAACCGACTTGTCGAATCCTTGGGGCAATCCGGAATTGTCAACGAGGTACGAATTCCAGGTTGCATCGTTCACATATTGAGGGTTCAAGCCACTACCATACGGCATGTTGGCATTCCCAAGTTGTTGCTGTTGCTGTTGCTGGATGTGCCCGAAAGATGCTTTCAGATGCTGATTTCTCGGGTCTTGATTTTCAGCACCAAAGGCGTCCGGGCCCATGCAAGCATTGTTAGGGAAGTTTTCGCTGCTGGAGGGGTTAGTAAAACCGTCCAAGCCATCCTGACTGAATGACTGGTATTCAGCACTCGAAGCCGAGACATTTGGCAGCTCGAAGTACGGAGGGCCCTGTCGAGTCAGGCGCTGCTGCTGGGCCTCGCGAAGCACGTTTTGATTTTGCTGGTATACACCTGCGTTGGACATCGATTCGTCCGATCCCTGCGACAATTGACCCGACTGCAAGTTTGGAGCCCGTTGATCAAGACTCATACCATGTCTGTGCATGGCATATCGCTGCATTGCCGGCGCTGGAAGATTAGGGACCTTCGCAGCCTCCAGGGATACCGGTGTCGAATTCTGCCGTCGGTGTTGCCGATGGCGTCTCTGAATGTTGCTGGTCGGACTGGCCAGCATGATGACGGAATTGAAGTCCGAACGGGAGGTATATCACAATATATCAGGATGCGATACGTTTTGAATTCTCTGAAAAGATGAAATTGAGGAGATTCGAAAAACTTTTTTGGGAGAAAATTTTGTCAGTACGATGGTGCGACTATCTGAGACATGGTGGGCGGACCTTTGGCAGCGCTGGCCGGTGGGCCACCGGACTTAAGAGATGAACACCCAGCCACTCGATATATAAGAGATTTTCTTTGTTTCCCTCGCAATGTCGGATGGCAATTGGACCTTCGTCGAAACGGTTGGGACTCGAAAAAAGTCCTCGCGCTTCCTATAAAACCCTTATCTTGTAAGCTTCTGTCCTCTTCCAACGGATACAGAGAAGCGGAGAAAACTTAGCCTGGCCCGCGAGAGTCTCCTCTCAGGGCCGCAAAAGTTCCAATATAACTAGACCAATATAGACAATAGATAGAGATATAATTTGGAGGTCAAGTTAAGGAGTGAATAAAGATTTCAAGGTGGTGCGACCGTAGACTTGTAAGAAGTAGTCGGCAGCTCGGGGATCTACTTCGGTCAACAATGGGCTTTGTTGGCCCAGCAACAACCAGGGCAGCGTCTGGGCCGCCGGGGAAACCCAATTACCTAGGAACCAAGCGGCTGCGCCTAGGGCGGGTAGGTACCGCTGTTTCGCAGGCCGCCGCCCCAGTAGCTACCTAGTTCGCTGCCAATGCACGGTGGATCGATCGAGTATTTTCGCCATCCTTGCGTCCGCCCTTCTGGGCGCAGGGCTGAGAGATTCATCTCCCCGATCGATCCCGCTTAGCAGTTCATCTAATTATTAGCAGCAAATCTCCACTCCCCGTCTCAAACCTCAATAATCTGGCAGCATCTGCACGAAGGAGCTGTTTGTGAGTGAGAAAAGTTTCCGACGAACTCATCCCTTGCAATAATTGACTCCATAGACCTATTTACACGATCCATCTGGAAATGGCATCGTTTACAAATGGTCTTGAGGTGAGGTGAGAGGGAGACTTGAAAACTGAGAGTTCGTCCCAGGAGGTTCTTGATGGGGGAACCTGTAAACAGTAGCCTAGGACACTTATCACGTGATCTGCATTCGGAAAAACATATTTTCCCCAACCGGTCAGAGAGCACCCCCGTCAAGCACGTGATCACACAAATGGATTTTGACACAAGCGGCTCCCACAATTTCCGCTTATCCAACAACGATTTGCACAGAAGAAGGTTGAGGAAGACAATTTGTCGAGGTAAGTGTCTGCGCAGCATCCGGCATTGTCTGCGATCATTTCTTCTCGATATTTCATCTACCAGAATATTTCTTCTTGCTTGTCCATGCAATCTGAGGATGAAAAAATACTCAAATACTGACTCTTCTGACATAGGCCTTCGTCAAGATGCAGATCTTCGTCAAGACCCTCACGGGTAAGACTATCACCCTCGAGGTGGAGTCTTCGGACACCATTGACAATGTCAAGTCCAAGATTCAGGGTACGAAAAATTCCCACACTGTCTTTCCGAATCTTTCCCAACGGCGGCGGCCCATGACTGATTCTTTCCCACACAGACAAGGAGGGAATTCCCCCGGACCAGCAGCGTCTGATCTTCGCTGGTAAGCAGCTCGAGGACGGGCGCACCCTGTCCGACTACAACATCCAGAAGGAGTCGACCCTTCACCTGGTGCTCCGCCTGCGTGGTGGTGCCAAGAAGCGCAAGAAGAAGGTCTACACCACCCCGAAGAAGATCAAGCACAAGCGCAAGAAGACCAGGCTGGCCGTCCTCAAGTACTACAAGGTCGACAGCGACGGCAAGATCGAGCGTCTCCGCCGCGAGTGCCCGTCTGCTGAGGTAAATTCCAGTCCTGTACAATGCGTTTATGAAGGATTCCGAACTGACGAATTTCTAGTGCGGTGCCGGTGTCTTCATGGCTGCTATGCACAACCGCCAGTACTGCGGCAAGTGCCACCTTACCTACGTCTTCGATGACTCCAAATAAACGATATGTATGATACATCATCTACATGTCATGTCGATGATGAAGGATAGTTAGCCGCAAGATAGATCAAATGCAGACGCTGTTCCGGTGTCCTGATATTTCTGCTCAAAATCTCCCTAGTTTCTAATGCTGTAAATTCCAAAATTATGCCATATACCCAATTTATGCGATAGTTCAAATTCCACATGTCTCTGAGAACCCGATTCTTCACTCCCCAGGGAATCCAGCTCTCAGATTATCATACTTGCTTTCCGGGTATTCGAGGTTATTGGGCGACTGCTCCAGGGCACTTATACCGCCAATGTCTTCGACAAAAGTGCCGATCAGGCTGCCATCGGCTTTGTTGGCAGTCTTGCCGCCGCGGTCACCGCTGCTCTCCCACCACATGCCTCCGCCCAGTCCCCACTGTCGAATGAAGTTCGCCTTCAGCTCGCCGGCGGCCACGGTGTCGTACGAGACCATCGTCCTCGTCGCGGGGTCGTAGCTCCACGATGCGCCCACGCTGGGGTCGAAGTGCTCGGTCGCTCCGGGCCTCGGCAGCGCCTTGTAGTCCCAGACGCCTTGCTCCCAGCTGCCTTCACCTACTCCCGAGAAGGGAGTGCCCGGTCCGTCCGTATTCTGAAAAGCGCGTCCGTAGAGAGGCATTCCCAGTACCATCTTTGAGGGTGGCACCCCTCCAACTTGAATGTAGTGGTTGAGCGCGGCAACCGTGGAAAACGGTGTGCTGCTGCTGTTGGAAGGATATAGGTTTGCCTGGTGACCAGCGATCTGGTCCCACGAGCCTGTACAAACTCATTAATTAGACGCAAGATCTATAGAATGGATGATATCGAAAACAACAAACCTGAATAATCATAGCCCATCAAGTTATAGAAATCGAGGTAAGGGGTCATCTCGTGAAGTCGAAGTTTGCTGAAGTTCGTAGGGCCTAAACACAACAGTCAGAATTGCAGCTTATTAAGACACTCCAGGGCATAATAATTACCGGCTGGGCAGGCAATGGTGAGAAGGAATTTCCGGTTTGGACCAGCGGCTTGGTCCAGTGTCTAGATAGATGCTGTCAGTCGCGCGGAAATGATTCCAATCAAAATAATCACACAGACATACCTCTCGGCATTTCTGGAGGAGCAGAACGAAATTCCGGGCTTGCGTATCGTCTAGAAATAATGTTAAGACCTAGCCCTGTTGATTCCATTTGACACTTCAATCTTACCCTGAGGATATTCCCAATCGATATCGATACCTTTTATATAACCAGTCAGCTCACGAAAAAGCAGCAATTGGAAAACCTTCCTTACCATCCAATCCCAAGTCAAGAACCAATTTTGTAGCAGTCTGAGCAAAAGTCGTACGGCCCACCTCGGTGCTGGCTGGTTGGGCAAAGTTGGGCGAATAGGTCCAGCCACCGATGGAGAGAAGGACCTTGAGCTTCCTGTTCCGCTTCTTAAGCAAGAAAAGCTGCTTGATGCAGCCGTAGACGTTCGTGCCCTGGTCGTTCCACGAGTCTCCCGGGTAGTGTTTCTCGACGTCTGACCAGGTGTCTGTCAGATATCTGCAGGTTTCAAGTCAAAGACATCAGCATTGTTCAATGGTTGCTGACAGGTTTGTTTTGTTCCTCCAAAGGGCCAGGTGCTTACACTTCGCCGCTGTCTGGTCTCACGTTGGCGAAAGAATACAGGACATGGGTAAGTTTTTCCGCAGGTAACTCCTGAGGATGGTGGTTGCGGCCATAAATTGCCTGGAAGAATATTAGCGTCAGTTCAAGCTAACTCAAGGACCTGAGCATGTAGCATCTCGATCAAAAATCGGAATCATCTGGATCAGAGTTATACGACTGTAATGCACATACCCAGTTGACGAAATACGCCACAGATCTGAATCCCGACATGGTGGTATTCTCTCCAGAGATCCCTGTTGCTGCTGGCGGCGGTGGTATTGGTGTTGATGTTGGTGTTGTCGTCTTGTTACCACTACCGTGTTTCCTCAAGCCACCAAGCAGCCGACGCATGCCTGGCGGTTCGAAGCTAAAGGCGCTGGGTTCCGGCAGGACCGTCCACAGACCTACGAAAACCGCAGCGGAAGAAAGGAGAAGAAGGAAGAAGGGTGATCTGAACCGGTTGTTGGGCGCCACGGTTGCTGGTGTTGTTGTTGTTGCTGCTGCTTTTTATATATGAGTATATTATAAGAATTGTCAACCGTGAAAGTAAAGCTGATGCCTCGTGTTTAGTTGATCAGGGATGTGAGTGACAGCTTGTACATGCATGGCCATGCATGGGTGCCAAAATATCGAGCTGCTGCGCCACACCTATAGCTGGAACTATTGGCTGGCTATAAATAAATTTGGCAATGCAGTCGGGACAGGGGACTGGTCGGTGATGTCATGACGGGTGGGACTGTGGCTGAAGGGGTATGTGGCTTGACAGTCGAGAGCATCGCCAACAATGGATTCATAGAAGGAACTGGAATCAGAATTGTGGTTTATATGCGCTCAATTCAAGTTATTGAGCCTCAAAAATAAAAAAAATGAATTGTTCTTTTGGTGTTGCGGATGGAGAGCTATTATTTACTATCCAGCCTTAATTCATTTAAGCACCGAATCTTGTTTCTCTAGTACATGTAAGCAAGAAGCACAGTAGAAGTACATGTATATGGTTCGTTTCTCTTTCACAGTAGATATTGTTATTGTTGTTGTTTCGTAACTACATATGTACGCTCGATGTGTATAGTATTACTCCGACAACCTGATGGGTACTACATTATATAAAACCGTATCGATTCAACTACAATCCACTGAAGGGATACTGGGCGTTTAGCCCAGGCGGAGTATTCTCCCACTCGATTGTGTAAGAGGAAAAAAAGGATACAGCAGGCTAACATGTGAAAATTGATGGATGCAGGACGGCGAGTCTGTGCTCGCTGGAACGTGGGCGTTGCTAACATTTGGATTGCCGCAGCCTGTCTCTCGTACCGATTCGGATTGGAGCAGGATCCAATAAGGGATCATCTCTTTAGCTCTGCGACTATGTCAAGCACAGTAGGACATACATATGGCCCGATTACCCCTACCGTATTATCCAAGAGATCTCCGACCCTGCCTCTCGAGCGGAACTCCAAACGCCATAGAAACGACTGCAGCTAACGACGCTGTCATGGGTACCCACCTATTGTCGATGTGTTTCCCTAAAAAGTGACCCTCGACGTGGGCTCTGGAGACTAAATAATTAGCGTAGTTCAAAGGAGACTCGCATGACTGCTGCTGAGTCCTGACGCAGAACTGCATACTAGTCACACCGCTTAAGGTTTCTTTTCCCGAACCCATTGCCGTCCGATGGTCTAAAACAGGAACGGTTTAATAAACCCAGCAAACACTACTAAATAATACATGCAATTAGTGCACCGAATCCAAACCGCCGGGCCACAAAAAAGAGGCGTAAAGCGAATCCTGCCCCCACAGCAAACTGTCACCCCTTCAATGTGAAAAGAGGGGAAGGTGGCAAATTCAGCGGACACTTCTCCACTGTAGGAGGAAGAAGCGTGCAATTTCGAATTCGCACGTGCTATGACCCAGACAAATCTGGATGCCCCAAACCGTGCGCTGGACCAAAAAAAAAAGTGTGCTGAAAACGAGCAAGTCTCCAGTCTTCACACTGGGATGGCCAGCCTCTGCTTTAGCACAGGACGGTGGAGGAAGTGACGTGAAAATCCTTTGGGGTAGGTGAAATTTGCCACGATCTGCGATCTCGGATGGGCCCGGTCCTGAAGATCAATGTTGTCTTGGATAGTGCGGATTGGATTGCCGCATGACGGCGCTGTCCGAAGGCTAGAAGCACTGCAGGGATAGCTGAAATCCTGAATGCTATTCTCTCCAGATCGAGATCTCCCCCGATATGGAACCGCATAGTGGGTCGGTCGTGCAGGTCACCTTTAGGCTTCGTGGTCTCTGTCCTAGACCAGTTTGGTAGAAGAACAGCAGTCCAAGAATGGCAACCATCGATCCATGCACAAGCCACAAAGACGGAATTGGCGGTGGGTGGCGTCTTGGTGACTGGCGGGATTGACTAGCCGAGGAGTCATAGTTCGATCGCAGGCCTCTAGTTCGGTTAGTTAGTTGCAGCGAGATTTTTCGTCGATGATCTGTGGGAAGCGACAAGCCTCAGCTGAATCGACCTGAAGGCTGAGCGGCAGCTTATTCGGGGTGGCGATTGGCAGGCGACCATTTTCTATTTTCTAGACCAAGAGATCGCGGAACGCATGGTCCACGCGGCAGAGGAACGGCCTGGCTTAGCGATCACCGATCACAGATCGCTCCGACGACTCCGGTTCTCTGGGAGGAACCCGGCACTTGGCTAGTGTTCCCTGTGGGGACGATCAGTCACGATCTATCAACGCAGCCCCGATCGTGCCATTGCGATCGATGGAGCCTTTTTTTTTTTCAGCTGCCTCGGAACGGCACCAGAGCTCTCAGCAGGAGATCCCCGCAAGGGACACGAAATCCAAAATAGGAAAAAAAAAATAATGATATAAAGAAAAAGGGGAAGAAAGCGAGAGAACAGTGTGGAACGTGCAGACAAACCAGACCTGGTTAGTCAAACGACCGGCCAGCTAAGGATACGGCAACTTTGATGGCTGGTGCTTGCAAGACGATCCATCGCGTCAGCTATGCGACGGAAGATCGCGCTAGATAGAGTCCAATATTATGATCCATGGATAACGTTCTTTAATTGAACGTTCATCAGCCAATTAGAGGGCTGTTCCTGGACCAAATGGCCCAACACCTTTTGTGTATTCATTATGTGGGTTCACAACACTCGGCCCGGCGCTGTCTTCGAAGCGCAAGAGACATACTCGAATCGAGAACAAATCATATCGTCTTTCTTAGTAGGTTTCTGGGCGCTCTAGCGTAGCAGACAGCTCTTGGATAGGACACGTTACTTGAAGATCTAGACCAGGACTCTCAGTGGATCGTCTGACGCATTGACTCGATCTGATTATATACAACACATCAAGCAGACGCCCGCGCCGCTAAGTGTGCACGGTGTCCTAGCCCATGCAGACATCGGTAGAGACCGGCCTCAGTGCGAGAAAGATGGGAGAGTTATTGAAAGTAGACAATCATCGCCGGAAGACAAGAGTCATCGGACAAAAAAAAGAAAAGAAAAGAAAAGAACCAATGCCATCTCTGCCAATTATAGCAAAAATGCAACCCAAGTCGATGCCATGCAAACATTCTTTTTTTTCGCCAGTGAGGTCTATATATGCAATCCCTGCGACAAGGCATTAAAAATCGAGTGCAATGGATATCGCCCCTCAAGTAGAATGATTCTTGCGACACCAGGTAGCATTAGCACCCTGCGCTGAAGAAGTTTCCGTCGTGTTGTTCACGGTAAACGCGTGGGAGGTTCGAGTGTTCGAGTAAGGTAGGTGAGCCAGGAAGTAGGGATTGATGCCTGCAATCCTTGATCGACTGAACGTAATCAATCCAGTATTCGCAACGGACGTTCGTAAATCAGGATAGTCCGCATCGTCATCGTAGGAAGGATTTTTCGTGGGTGTGTGCAAACGTCAGGTTTGTGACCGAATCCAGTTCAGCAATTCAGCAAGAGAAGGGTCCTCGTCCACCCAGTGGCCAGCCCTCACATCAGCTGCGTGGAGGTCCGAAACGACGAACTGATCAGTAACGCTGGCAAGTTCCTAGCAGGTACGAAGCCTTCGTTAGCGATGGGCAGGGAGTGGATCGAGTCCCGAGTCGCGTAGGAACTACACTCACACTTTGTAGGATCGCATCGATTTCTCGCAGTCGAGCAGTGTCACCGGGCTTGACGTTGGAACGGTTGATCTGCCATCGTCGTACGGCGGCTACACGAAGGTAGAGCTTGTGTGCTTGGAATCGACGGGCGATCGCGTCGAGAATACTCTGAGAACGAATGGAAAAGGTCAGCAACGGGTGTGGAAGAATAAGAAAAGGGCCCAGGTACGATCCCACTCACCATCTTAGTTGAGCCTTTCTGGTCTCTTCATTGCCACCTTGACTCTGGATTGACGCCATGTTGTAGTTGGCGGCCAGAAGACGTTGGGCGGCTGCAAGACTCTCCTGGAGCACCCGGTAAGCCTCGTGTCTCGTGTCCCCCGACGGCATGTTCATCGCCTGTTCCGAAATGTGGAGTTGGAGGGTTCGATAATCGTTCATCAGTTCGGCAACTCTCAAAGCTCGGGCATCGTTGACTAGATACGGTCAGATGCTGAATGCTGCAACACTGTCGCATTCTTTTTTTATGGATCTTCTCGGGAAGACTCACGACCGTCAGCCATGTCGAAGGAAGGAAACACACAAATCTATATAGAACAGTACACAAAACAAAAGCACAACATAACACAAATACGAGGAAAGATCAAAGGAAAGGAGTGGCTCGTCAATTGGGTTACGCTTCTTTTCTTCTTCTACGCCGTGGACAACGGGATACTCCTCTTAAGCTTATGTATGTTTTGATGGAAACAGCTCCTCAAGGTCGCTCCCATTGCAGACAGGTTAATTGGCACACTATCCAGACGTGGCTGGCTGCGCCAATGGATATTGCACATTGCATACTAAGGGGATCAACGGCAGGAGGAAACAATCAGATCTCGAGACGTGCCAGTGGATCTCAGAATACCAAGCTTGGGCATTGGTCCCTGCGACAGGTACATCGCGAAAACCATGCCGTTGGAAAGCCGGGGCAGGCCCAGCAGACAACTAGAAAGGCACGGAAGGCTAATTGGCAGCATATCGGTCCATGATGGAGATCGTGCCTCAGGCTGCATCTCAGTTGGGCCAAATCAGAGATGCCACGGGCTTTGGCGATATAGGCGGCCGGGGCCGCAGTGGATTCGCCGGCAGCTTGGGTGGATGCGGGAGTGGAGGCTGCTTTAGCGAGCGGGTACCTGGGCGTGTCGGCGCAGAAGCAAAAATTCGCCGCCAGCACAGCTGTCCCGCTCGACGCCACAAAAAAAGACCCTATCAGACCACTCTTAGCCAGATCGGTGAACGGGAAAATCAAAGAAAATCGGTAAAAAAGGCAAAAAATCTGAGTTGAGCCACAAACCAGAGGCAAAACCACAGCAGCTGCTGATGCGAAAGCCACACCACCGAAGCTGAACAGTTGCTCCACAGAAGACAATCGTGCCGGTGGCGGATCTGCTTGTATTTACCTACTCGACAAAAATAGACTCGACGAACCTACCAAGTATGTAAGCCTCCATTTACAACTCATGCCGTGAGATCCGCTGCTGTCTGCACTGCCTGGCCCTGCTGCAGCAAGTGAGAGATCTGAAGTTAGGATCGGAGGCTCCATCTTCTGCGAACAGCTACCTGCTGGAAGTGCAACTACCCGGCCAGTGCATGCCGTTGCCACAATTTATCAACAGGGCGCACCTGAATGTCAACACAGGATGGCCAATAAAAAAAGACCAGGACCGGAGCAAATGGGAGGAAATGCAATTAAAAGAGACGAAGAAAATATGTCGTGAGACAACACCAAGCTGGTAAACAGCCTTGACCAGTAGACCTCATTGCCATTCGAGATGCCTGCATAGTTCTTCAAGCCTCCATCAGATCAGTCATGCACCATCTCAGCCATCAGCCCTGCTGCCATTCAGTCCTTTTCACTGATAGCCTGCAACCGTTCTTCGATCTCATCCTCCGTCAGCGCTCGAAATCCAGGATCTGTCCCTTCCTTGCCATCGGTCCGGGGACCGCCAACGATTCCAATCTCCAATTCGTTTTTCTTGAAGTCGACGCTGAGCACGCTGCTCAAGGTCGTGATTCCCAGCTCGACAACATCCTCCCAGCTGCCTTCTGCATAATCCTTGTTTTTCAGCTTCTTCTCGAGGTGGTTGAGTGCTTCTTGTTGCTTGGGGCCCGAGGCAGTCGCCTTGTATCCCACATAGTACCCTGCCGGGTCACATTTGTAAAGTTGGGGGCCATATTCCGAATCAACTGAGATCAGAGTGATGGCGACACCGAGAGGACGCATGTAAGCCTTGATTTCAAAACTACGTCAGCTATCTCCTCAAGATAGAGCATTGGCAGGTAGGAACGCGGGACAGACTCTTTGTGTATAGACTTGATTGATATTGGCAAGTCGCTTTGCCAGAACATCGCAAGGCATTTCATATCCATATTTGTATCGGAACTCTGCAGCCTCAGCGCGGGCACGGTCGACACATGCTCTTGCATCCGCTATGGACCCGGTCATCACACAGCCAACGGAAGGAGAGATTTTGAAGATGTGCGTAACAGAGGACGGGTCAATCAGCTTGTCCTGGAAATAACGGTCAATCTAGCCTCATAACCGAATCCATCCAGCTGGCTGACTTACGGGGACTTTCTTCTGTGACAGGACGACAGCACAATTCTTCCCCCGTACCCCGACGGACGTAATATTCGCAGCTGTTATGGCTTTGAAGGCATATTCTACGTTCCAAGACTTCCATCAGCCACTATCTCTTGGGCAACGGAGCATCCTTCCGACACCTGTACACACCACGATCCGGGCGGCGGTTACGGAGCGGGACAGCGTCGACGTCGGGAAGGAGTGGACTGGGGAACGGAAAACCCACCGACTTGGTACAGACGACCTTGTTCGGAGAAGATTGTAATATGTCTATCGTAGCCTGCGCTTCCTGTGCCGGAAAACCACCCAAGTCAGAACTGATGATGAAATGAGGTGCAGAACCAGCAATCGGCGGTTGGAGCGCTCACCCGACATAATGACTCAGAGTTGACCGATCCAAAGGATTTATGACCAAGGAAACAGTTCTAGATTTGAGGAATCCCACAGATCTGGGGAAGAGAAGGAATTTCGGGCGGAAGAGGAGGGTGATGGCGATGAGGGGATGGAGGAGAGTGCCGTACGCGTTCCAGAAGCTGCCTGGCATGAGCTCAAGCTCCGTGGTCTGGTTGAGTTCTGTCATCCTTCACCGCCTTCCGACCAGCCCTACACAGTTGACATCGACATTGTTATTACTTGCGCTCCCGACCTGAGCTATTTGTCTTGCTAGCGAAGTTACTAAAAATTGCTGCAGTAGAGGTGCTTGGTTGGTGATACGCACTTCACTCGAGATCACATACGCATCGCACTTCCACTTACCTAACTATTGTTCTGGCTACAATTACAGTGTCATCGTTTGATGGCATTAGCGACGGCTATGCCATGAAAGAGAAGAGAACCTGACAAAAAGAAAAAAAAAGAAGAAACCTCACCTCGTACCACGAGTACCATCATTGCTTATTGCGAACAAGAGGAAGGGAAATATAACTACCTGCCAGTGTGGGAAGCACATTGACAGTCACGAGGCAGGCCGCATGAGAAGAGAATTGACCGGCTTGCAACACCATTTCACCTATCATCGCCGATTTTGTTGTCTGATCGGCCTACCTGCCCTCAATGCTGCCCTTCTACTGCATCACATCATCTAGCCTTGTCGAATGCAATAATGCCAGGGTTAATACGGTACGCCTCGCTTGAGGAAAGGAGACCACGTTCAAGACCGAATACTGATCGCTGAAACACACGCAGATACACGTCAGGCAGTCAGGTAGGTCTTTTGTCGATTTCGATCAAGGAGAGTCTGTCTCAGTGTGATTCGAGTCCGCCTATGAGTGCCAAGCATGATATCGCAGTCTAGTGACTCTAGTCCAAGGCCGATCCCAACATCCCTCCTGCCACGTAGATTATTGACGACGTGCATGTCCTGACCAATTGGCTGCTGACCGTCTTTAGATGAGTAGCTGGGATTGTTCAGTGGCAGGGATCACCATGATCACGGGTCGAGTGAGTGCTGTTCATTGAACAAGGCTCGCTTACAGTAGCCAAGGTAAACAACCTCTAGAGAATATAGCTAAACATCTGGAGCGCCAGGAAGAGAGGAAGGAAGAGAGAAGAAAAAAAGAAATATAGCAAGATCTTAAAGAGACAAAATTTGGAATAGACTGTAGTTATTAAGATGTCTCGAAAGCAGAGTTTCACCATCTGGAAGCCAAACGAGAAGATCGATTGAGTAAGGACAATAATCGCCACAAAGCTTGTTCCTTTTCCTTTGTTCTTTTTTATTTCCGGGACAAACTACCTATGTATCAGGCGTCCACTGTCTGGCAATCGGATTGGATTGGATGCCCCGAGTTGTCGGGTCGCGTCACTTCATTTCCGAGATCCTCCAGCAAGCAAGGGATGTGATGTGATGTGATGTGACGTTGTTCTCGAATTTTTTTTAACACCTTTTATCCCTTTTTCCTTCCTCCCTTTCTCCCAATACCAGGTCTCTGAAAACTGAAAAGGCTGACCTGAAGGGAAAAAAAAGAAAATAAGGCTACTGCTGTTGATCACTACCTGCTTGAGATATGAGCATGAAGATCTATAGTAATATGCCTGTCATTGGTAAGATTTATTCCCCACAAGCTAAGGTGAAAATCGACCGGATAGATCGATCGGCAGACAAGCATGTGCATAGCGAAAATAACAGACGTAGGTACCATGTAGGTAGTAGTGTTACTCCGTAAATAGCACTAAATAGTATATTACTAGGCAACCATTTCCTGCAAGGGTAGTAGATTGCTATGGTGTCAGCTAAAGCAAATGTACGGAGTACATAACACAAATGCCAAGAGCCAAAGAGACACTTCCATCTGAGACAGTGGCCAGTCTTCTCTTTCTTACAGCGTGGAGTTCGAGTCCTTCGTAGACGAACAGGAAAGGTCCCGCGATAGCGCATTCCAACTAGTCGACCGCGTGCTGCTCTTCGTTCTTGATTGAAAAGGAAGGAGAGACAATAAGAAAAAGCAAAAAAAAATTCGTGTTTTGGGCATCGTAGAAAGCCAGTGTGCACACGACGATCGCCCACGTTGTGAAGTTGGTACGTAATATGGGGACGTGACGGGAGTGTTGTGAGTTTACCAGACCGGGAAGGAGGATTCAGGTGATGATCATCCGATTTGGAAGCCACAAGAAAAAAGCAAAAATAGAAATAGAAACTGTCGGCTAGGAGCCTAGGTCAGAAGGTCAACCCGGCTGAGCTCGGAGATTACACGTCTTTCAGCTATTAAAAAGGCGGTGGACGCTGGAGAGTCAGATTTGAGAATCCGTACTCCGTACGGAAGACTCTGTACAGAGTACTCCGTACCTTTTGCTTACTTAGGACTTAGGTAGACCCAGAGCACTGCCCCTTACTACCAGAAGCAATCATATTACAGGTCTTGTTTGCTCCATTCGGAAACAACCCGGCGTTCCGGGACAGAGGACAGAGGGCGGAGTGGAGCAGGATGCGAGATGTGGCTCCGAACCTAATTCGCACCTTCCTTCCCTGACGTAGTTCCATGCCCAGCTCAACTTGCTTTTTTGAACTGTCAGTTTTTTGTCGAGTTAGATTCTTTTTTCTTTGCTTTTCCTGGCACTTGCATGTACATCACGTCGTAGCAGCCATGAGCCTTGATCATTCGCGTCATGCGACCTGCTTGTGCCAGATACGAAATCAGGTATACACCTCGACAGGCAGTCACATGGAGTTTTTTTCAAACACCAGCAACCACCAACCACCAGACATCCCGGATATGCATCCTCCAGGACATCGTATGCCTGACCGCGACGACAGAAGGGGGCCAGACACAGGCCTAATCATTTGTGGAGGCGGAGGTTAGGCAGGATTCGTCGTAGTTAGTGGGGTCGGGTGAGGACTCTCCCGACATACGGAGTACGGAGTAAGCTTTTGGAGCTGTTTACGGAGTAGTCTGGCAGGCTGTGCCATTCTCAGATCCGGCCTCACGGAGGAGACCGTTGGGCCTGAAGTTAATTCGTAGGCAACAGACAGGAGCTTAGCACCTAACCCAGGTAGACAGGTATCTGAACAACAGTGTCACCTCCCAATACGACTCCTGTCACAACCTAACAACAACCCCCGCTGTAGTCGGGCGTTTCCCTCCATCAGTTACTTGACTCCTCCGAGCATGGGGTGGTATTTAATGATACAGGGATCATGGTTGTTGGCTCTGCTGGGAAGGAAATCCCTGCTCCTGGCGTCCACCTCCATTGGGTGCCCTGGACCAGAGAACTGTCACAGTCAGCCATGGTCTGCCACCGTCAGGAATCGGACTGGATCCGCAGGGCGTTTGCGGCAGAGGACATCGGCAGAATGATTATCTCAATCTGGCCTGGCCCGGCAGTCTGGTACAGCATAGCCCATGCGACTGATCTCCTCTGAGGATCCCCGAGCTAATGCAAGGCGCAAAGGACTGTCTTCCGTCAGAAATGGCCGAATCCTGCTGTCGTAACCGGCCTTCTGGGTTGTCTTGGTGGCTTGCTGTCTGTCTGTAGCCTGTAAACGCGCACGTCAAAGCGCACCAATCCGGTCGCTCTTTGTCCATCGAGTCACGCAGCAACGCCTGTCAACTAATTATAACACACGCACCGCATTGCTGACCCGCAGCGTTGCAAGGATTCTCGAGCCATGCGACTACCGGCGAGTTCCGGATTACCAATATGAACAGTACATGTAAGCATTGGGCCTGCGGAATGTCACCGCGATACTGGCTGCGTCAATCATGACATGCTATGTCTGTCGCAGCCTTGCAGGTAATTAATATGTGACCCGACTTTTGTTGAGGGTCGGTGAGGTATTTTCCCTTGGTGCATCGCCGCTGCAAGGCCAAGGGTCCCTGAAGCAGGATCTGCTCTGTGGAGTCGCGCTGTACAACTCATAAATCCTGGAATATAATATATATGACCGCTATATCCTGTTTTCCTCCGCCTTTGTTTTCTTTCCTCCTTTTTCTTCCTACACAGCTACAGAAGACGGTCCATCTCGCGCCCTCCTTCCCAAACCGTTCAGATCTTCCAACCGCAGCCTGAGGAAAGAACGATCGACACGATGGCTCAGCCCACCACCCACCAGGAGCTGCCACGCACCGCCAACAGATCGCCGCAGACCAATCTCATCGACGATCTTGCCAACTACCAACGCTGCTGGGAGGAAATTCACCAACGAACCCTCAAGCAGATTCAAATGGTTAAAGGTAAGCAGGCACCCTTACTTAATATGCAATGCGAAAAAGAAAAAGAAAGAACAAAAAAGACAAGGCGCTCACCAATGGTTGGGTCACATCCAGAAGCGGAGAAAAGTTCCAATTCGACACAATCCAATAATGTCTTACGCTTACCGACCAACACCAAGTCCTAAATGCTGTCCAGAGTCTCTCTCTCCCTCAAACCAGAAAGAAAAACGAGGAGAAAAGTTACAGTGCGACAGAAAGAACCATGCAAACGAAACGATATTTTCTCCCTTATAGAAGCGAGCGACATGCCTCACCGGATTGACTGATCAATTAGTCCAACCCCGCCTGTACATATCACCTACTTCCCGGAGTACGGAGTCGAGGGTACCGGAAAGAAGAAACGAGAAAAGAAGAGAGTGTGCCGAAGAAAGAGATGACGACTATAGACGGGACTTGGGAAGGCCGTGGTCACCGTTACTCACCTAGGAGATGGCTATCCTTCGTCCTTCTGGATACGCTCCCGTTCAGAGGGAAAACCGTGCTCCTCGCAATAATGCAATTCGGCCATCAACTGGATCCAAAAAATAGCCGGATACTTATTTCACGTCACACATCGCGAGGACCGCCTAGCACCGAAAAGCTACATACGTTGAAAATATGCTGGCACGTGAAAGCATTGAATATTCTGAAGAATATTCAACTTCACTTCAACATCAGCCATGCAGACGCAAAGGACCGAAAGAAATCGAAACGACAGAGCACAACAGATTAGGTCCATCATTTTCTTTTCCTTCCTTTTCTTTTGTCCTTTTTTCCTTTTCGGTTTTTTGTCTGCGTACATGGAAATGGATGCCACGAGACCAGCATCTAAGGGAGGGATTGCTACAAAGACCTCATTCGAGTTCACTTGACTCAGTCGCAAATCGCAAATTGCAAAATCATGCTCAACCAAGCATGCCTGCCTAACACCAGTCTCGTGGTTCAGACACAGAATAGTACGGCAGGCTGCTTCATGACAGCTCCTCCCTTCATGCTGATCGAGTAAAGGCATTTGCGCTTAATTTTTCGGGGTTTAAGCTTATTGAATTACATACTCCGTATATAGCAGTTAATACATGCCGTATTTCTACTCTCAATCCCGTCAAAGATCCTTATCGTATTTATGTTCCTGCTATCCATTATTTGTTGATGTAATGTACAGTGCCGCAGCTGCTAGAAACGCATTTCCATATACAAGTCGTTATTCATTACAAACCCAGTCTGGGTCATAAGAATTTTCCGAACACTCCAGTCAAGCATTTCACCAGGGTCGGATCTAAGGTCCCCACGACTAGCTATCGCTATCGCTGTCGCTGTCACTGCTACTACTGGATATCTCCACCACAGCTGTGCGGTTCTTCCTCTTCTTCTTCGGCGCAGTTGTAGGTGTATTCTTCTTGTTATCATTATTCTTGCCCACATTCTTGCCATCAGCTTTCGCCGATGAATTTTCCACTTTGGGTGATGTCGCTTTTGTCTCGGTCGGCGATGATGCCTTGCCGTTGATAGCCCACAAGATCAGTTCAGCGCGCTGCCTCCTCTCCAGCCTCTTTTGAGTGTCTGCATCCGCACCCTCCAAGGTACTTCCATTTTCGAGGTCTTTATCACCTGCTGCCAATCTGGCCCTGAATGCCTCGACAGCTTCCCTATACTTCTCTCCCGATGTCCCCGAAGTAGGCGAGTTGTTGTTATTTTGTTCCGATTCCCCATGACCGTTATCATCATCGTCGTCGTCGATATTCGCCACTTCTAACTTCCATTGATCATCATCGGCGCTAACTACCTCCTCCGCAGCCTGCCGTAGCCTCTGCTTTGCGCCTTCGCTTCTCAAGCCTTGCAGGTAGACCAGTAATGGGGTATTGAATCGCACAGGAACCCTCTCGAGAGAAAGTGCATGCTTGAGCAGGTGGGATTCTCGGTTCTTCTGAAACTTCCACGAAGAACGGTCCTCGTAGAAGCGGGTGAGGTAGGAGAGGATAGGAGAGTCATCGACGGAGGTCGCGGCGTTGGAGTTGTTCTGAGACGATTGCTGTCTCGCTTTCGCTTCCTGGCGCTTCTTCCTCTTCTTCTCCCTTTTCTTCTGTCTTATTTCTTCTTTCTTCCTCTCTTCCTCGTCCATATCCTCATCGCCATTCTGTTGTTCCTTGTCACCAGACTGCGCCTTTCCATCACCATCCCCGTCTTTGGTATCCGGCGTGAAAGAGACAGATTTTCTTGAGGCGTTGCTGCAGCATTGTTACCATGCAACTCTTGCTTCTGCTCCTGCTTCTCCTCCCCTGGCGAGACTCCAGCAGCTACCCCATTTTCCAGTCGTCTCTTCTTGTTGTTGCCCGTCTCCTCCGTTCCTGTAGCAGCAGCATGCGACCCTTCTCCATCCTCAGATGCATTCTTCTTCCTCTTCTTCTTGTCTTTCTTTTTGTCGGTGTCGGCGCCCTTTGCCTCCTCTATCGAGTCCGCGGGAGCAGCAGCAGCAGCAGTAGTATCAGCAGTAGCGGTAGCATTCTCGCCGACGTCCTCGCTGGCGTATTTGAGCTTCAGGCCCAGTCTCTTCCAGGCTGGTACGTGCGTCTGTGTCTGCGTCTTCGTCCCGTCGTTTGCCATTTTTCGAAGCTCGAAGCTCGAAGCTCGTTCGTTGTCCGTTCCTTCTTACTCGGTGGTGCTCACTTTCCAAACGATAGAAAATTTCCGATTTTCAGGAAACGAAACAAAACGGCAGCGGATGGGGAGCTCAAAAAAATAAATAAAAAGCTCCTGTCAGAATAGGAGGAACAAGCCCATTCTGACGTGCGTGTGTATGTGTGTGCCAGTTGCGGTGCGGACAATCGTTTCACGTCTTTTTTTTTGACCTCCGCGACTAAAAAAGATTGCGGGTCGGCAAGCAAGGAAGCTCCGCGTTTAATCTATCTGTAAGCTCCCGAAGCGCGCTTAAGCGGGACTGCAACATACATAAGCTCACTAATACTAGTTAACTAATACTCCGTAGGTTACTGTAAAAACGCCAGTGGCATACATTATATACCTTAATCTGTATACTCCGCACTATGTAGTAATTCACACAATCTCCTTTTTTTAAAAAAAAAATTTAATTGGTACCGCTTTCAGTAGGAATTATTTATTTATTTACCTAACAGGAACAAATAAATAAGACGAAACATCACAACAAATAGTAAAACAATGATAATAATATGCATAGGGTATAATATCTCGTAAACCTAACTACCTATCTGTCATCAATCAAACAATCAACCCTGGTCAACAATAAATCAATAAGTGAAAACGGTGAAGCGTGTCGAGAGACAGAGAGCTTTTTGCTCTTTTCCGCCTGATTCTTTCTGCTTGCTTGCTTGTACATTTGTTCGTTTGTTTGTCCCAGGTTGTTTTTCTTTTCTTTTCTTTCTAACCCGTACGATGCGCCAGATACAATCCATTTTCCAGAAGAAGAAAAATAAAATAAAACCAGGAGTTTGATAACAACAACAACTAGAGAATAAAATCCAAATGACCAGGCCAGCTGGAGCGAGCTAACTAACTACCCACCTACCCCTCTGTCCCGGCTGTACCTGAATCTCCACCACTTCCAGCTGCTTCCTTTGCAGGATCCGTCGTCCCCTTTTCTTTCTCCCTCTCCCTCTCCTTCTCCTTCTCCTGCTGGACACTCCCATCTCCACTTGCGCTGGATGCTGCAGCAGCTTTGCGTCTTGCTCGTTCTTTTTCTTTCGAGGAGCTGCTTCCGGCACCTACGGTCTTTCTTCTCCGCACGGGCTGGTACACATCGTTGAAATTCATGACCACGCCCAAGAACCGCATGTCGACATCCGGTTGGTAGGCGAGGTCACCAAGCAGGACGTTGAGACGGGCGCGGAAATCAGCGGAGAGGTCGCGGAGCCGTGCCCGTAGAGAAGGAAGCATGTGGTCGTCTGCTGAAGGGCCCGGGGCGAGGAGAGGTGTCGGCGTGTCTGCCCCGTCAGGCTGTTGCTGGTCGAGCCCATGTGTACCAGAAAAAGATGACGAAGCCGACTTGACATGTCCTTGTCCCCGTCGGGAGGAAGGCAGAAAGTCCCGTTCCGTCACTCCCCAGCGTCCCTGAGCTGTGCGAGTTTCGATCTTCGCGCTGAGCTCCTGTCTGCGTGTGAACTCCGCCACCGAAAAGGAGTACAGGCCATCAACTGCATCCTTATATGCAAGCATAATCTTCAGAATCTGGTGCAGCTGGCTGAGGAAGCTCTCTTCCGGCTGTTTCCCAGACGAGGAGCCCCGGGACGTCGAAGCTGAGCCCAACAGACCCTTATGCGTGATGGAGTTGAGATATTTGGTGTGAGCCTCGATCAGGTCGTCGAGCGTACATCCAGGCTTCGAGATAGCGGCCTGTAACTCGTCCCAACTGGCCTCGATAACTTCAAATAGAATATAGTACTGCAGCTGGCAAACAAAGTGGATCATTTCGGCGATCACACAGCGCGCACGTTTCCAGTCAGCCCCGACCTTGTCGTCCACAGCGCCCAGTACTCCTCTCGCGCCGGTCATGCATCGTCGCCAGGTGCTCCCCAGGGCGAACTCAACCCGTTTCACACGCCACAGGAAATTGAAGACTTTAAGATACTGTGTTGATCCCCATGGAGTAATGACTACATCCACCGGAGCATCAATTTTATACTCGAGGGTGAAGCAATCCCATCCGATTTCACCATGGCTTAGCTCTAACATGCGTGCATCGAGACGGCGGAGAACGTCCGGGGAATCAAATTGCGCGTTCGAAGCACGAATAGCATGTTCTAGCTGGGCAGTAAGAGTATGCCGGTACTGTGAGTTTGCCGGACGATCGAGATTTGAAGCCAGTGATTCCATCAATAAAGCGATGAAATCTCCTTGCCCGAGCAGCAGGTACTTCTTCAGAGCCCGCAGATGCTCAAACAGTTTAAACTTGGTGTCCATCAGGTGAATCAAGCGCGCCATGGTCGTCTTGTAAGCCTCGTCGATAGAATTCTCCAAACTCGCAGTGTCACCATACCGCAGTTCCTTGGACGCTTCTTTCGAATATGCTTCTACCCAAGCCGAGTCACCACAGCCATATCTGATAAAGTTCAGAGACTTCCCAATAAGAAATACTTTCTTCGCAAATTCCTGTGTGATGATGCTCGGGACCATCTCATCGTCCAGTTTATACTTGTCCTCCCAGACGCTGGTTGCAATGCGTCGTGGATCCGTGCTGGGCCTGAATTCCGGCTCTGTGACGAAGAACTCCTTATATGGATCGGAAAGTTCACCATCATAGATCCATAGCCGTAGCATGTCATAGAACGGACGGGTGACGTGAGATAACAACTTTTCTGCAAAAGAACAAACGAAAGGATCTCCATGAGAGGACGAAAAACCGTGTATCAAAGAGATTAATTGACCTCCTTTCTTATCTAATCCAGAGTCAGTACCGGGGCGCCAGTAATTGTGCAAGGAAAAGACAAGGGAGGGAGAAGAAGAAAAAGGATGGTGTCAAGCTTACTTCGAGCCTCTTCAACCATCACGTTCATCAACCGTAATGCCATTGTAGCTTCTCTTGTCCACACTACGCACCGCTTCAATGTAACCGCACCCTTGACAGCGCCTTTTGGATTATTTTCATCGGCTGCAGCCGTCAGAGCTCTCCTGATTTCACCTTCCAAAGTGGCGACTAGACTCAGATACGAGCGCAGCTCATTGCCAATCGCAGCTCGGAGAGCCTGACTCACAAGTCCACCATCCGAGCTGTCAACAAATGCAGATAGCTCTCTATATAACAGGCACGGTTCAGCCAACGTGTGTAAAAGCGATATCATCGGGATTGGCAATGTCGGAGGCAGTTTGAGGACAGATGATGAAGAGAACTCCACATTCGTCGAAGACAGCCCCTGGAGGATGAATGGGAGATCACGCAACAACTCTGGCTCGGCTGGTTTCATTGTCTGCTGGACAGGTTCAACTGCCATAGGGGAGGCGTTGTCTTCTGCTGGTACAACAGTATCTTTGGCCGCACTATCTGCACGCGCTCGACCCAGACGACTCTCTTTGCCTTCTTCCGTCAAAGTTTGTCTTCTTGGCCTCTCAGTTGGCGCTTTCAATGAAGGCCTCCTCTCTGGGCGTGCTCCGCGCTGCGACACCGACGAACTGATGGCTGGGCCCTCGTCGATGTCATCAACCATCCTCCCTCCAGGCCGAATATTCCTTGACCCCTTGAACAGCATGTTATCCAGGTTCCCCTCTTCCATCAGTGGACTTCGACATCGCTCCCCATCATCCATTCGCTCGCCTTCGTCGCCTTGCGATTCCGACAGTCGATAGAGAAGATATAAGATCGCCCATTTCTGACTCAGCACCGGTTGCGTCAACAGACGAGAATAGAGGTTGGAAAAACGGACGGCCTTATCCGGGCTCGCGTTCTCCCGTAGCAGCTTCCGCTTAATCAGGTCCGATGCGTTGTTGATGTTCTCTGCAGCGGAACCACTCCCGCTGTCGGCGGCGGTCTCCAGGATGCGCCAGGCACGGTCCAGACGGTCGCGATGCCGACGCTCCTCGGCGGCTGCGAGAGCATCCTCTTCATCTGCCGAGTAATCATCACCCAAAGCAGATAGAGAGAGTGGCGGCAGCATAGAATCGATCAGCTGCGAGAGGGCGTCATCGACACGACGCGAGCGCGCCGGAGCGCGGCGGGCTGACATTGCCAATGCCTCTCTTTTTTTTTTCCTCTTCTTTCGCGTCACTTTGATGAAATTCCCTTCGGTTGTATGTCACTCGGGCTCAATCCCCCAGATCGAGTCATTTATCTCGCCAATTGTCGAATTGAATGGGATCGATCGGTCGGTGGTAGAGGCGGGCGGCGACGGCGGGGATTCTAACAACGGCGCGGTGAACCGCAGGCTTCTCTTCGGATGGGACTCTTTGACAACGCGTGGGTTATGATCCTGGGAATCTTCGTATGTATTCCTTAGAAAAATTTATTGCACCACAAAGCCCACCGCTGCGCTCTACAGCGGCGTCTTGCGGGCTTGACAAAGGTTGCCGTCGGAAATCGTGCGGACGCGATGTTTGTGTTTGTACTGTTTGATCGCAATTACCGCCCGAGATTTGTTACTACTACTAAGGTCGACCATCACATACTCCCGTCTTGGTCCAATAACGGTGAACATTCCCTTACGATTGACAGTGGTATACGGAGAAGAATGGAATAGATGATCAAGGTGAACTGTTAGTTTTCTCCAGTTCCGGATTTCCAGCTACCTGAGTATATAAGTAGCAAAGTCGGTCGTGTAGCCGTCAGATTGAAAGCAAGGTTTTAGCAACCGGTACGCCTTCAACATTCACACATCTCAAACCGAGAAGAAGCACGCCCCTGTGCCAAGAATTATCGAACAAGAATAGAAGGTCCCCAGGAGGGAGAGAATAAATGAAAGCATTGAAAAAAAAACCGAGAAGACAACCAGGCCGACAAAATTACCACCAGTAGAACACGCAGGAGAAATACAATAATGGTGAAAAGAAGCGAGAAAAAAAATTGTCTTCCGAACGAACCGCAGATTTTGCACGCCCCTCAGGTGAGAAATGATGTACATGCCATGTCCTCACCATCCGGTGGTGTCCTGTCCATTTTAGTCCGTATGCATCATTAGAACTCCGTCCATGCCATAGCTCCGAGTGATGTCACAATTAGGAGAGATGAGAGAAGAAAAAAGGGATCAAGACCGTCCGTAGTGTCATATCGTTCCATCAAAAAAAAAAACCGGCCGGCTGAAGCATATCATAAGGAGGAGGGAGCTGTTGGTTTTGAGGCCAGATGGCGAAATTTTATATCTGTCTCTTTAGTAGTCATTACGCATTTTCACAGATTTTTCTTTGATCCGCTATCATCTCCGAATTCCCTGAGTATGGATTGGTCCTCCCGGTTGCATTCCCATAGTGTTGGGAATGTTATATGGATGTGGATCGAACCCGGTATTCATGCCGTTCATGAGGAGCGGACCAAGACCCTGTGCCTGAGATACAGGGCAGTCTTTGTGGGCGAGCAAAAGGGTCTTCAAGTTGACAATCTCTTCACGAAGCTGGGTGACTGTTGCTGTAAGAGCATCATTTTCGCTGGTGAATAGTTCAACCTTGGCCTGCAGATTAGCAAGCCACTGCTTCTTGCGCTGTCGGCACTTGAGCGCAGCGACACTATCAGACAAATTTCCATTAGCGCCAGCTCAAAACTTACGAGAAGCTGTCTTGAGAGGTCAAAGACATACCGATTTCGTTCCAAGAAGTTCCTCCGCTTCTCCTCATCAGTCATCTTCTTAGGATCCTTATTCTCAGTCTTTTGTGACTTCTTATCATCCTGTTCAGATTCACCCTGCTCAGGAGTAGCTTCATTCCCGCCTTCATTATTTGTTTTGGCCTTCTTGTTGGAGCCCTTAGCGGCAGTGTCGTCCGCTTTACGTCTGCCGGTAGAGGGAGTCGTGGACTTGGTCGAGGTACTCTTCTTCCCCTTACCCTTGGCTGCAGGTTTGGCCTGGTCGCCTTGGGTATCAGATCCATCACCGGTCATCTCACGGTCGCCTGTCACCGCGTTATTTGCGTTAGTGCGGGAAGCGCGCGTGGTGACGTTTGCATCCTGCGCAGGTTCTGGTGGTTTGTTCTGGATATTCTGCGGAGGCAGAGAGGATTGATTCGAGAATTGGTTGTTATTCGCCTGGCCTCCCTTAGCAAGCATGAAGAGACCGTTGGCAGCATCGGCAGCATCATGATGAGTGAAAGGGTCCACGACCGCCGGCTGAGAGGTTTTAGTTTCCATGGTTGTGAGCTGTTCGGACTCGGTGGTCGGGTTGGACGTAGGCGCATTGAAGCCGTTCCGCTTCGCTGCATTGAGAGCGGTGCGGTGGAACTCAAGTGTAGAGGGAGTTGCGCCACCGCTTTGCAGTTGAGAGAGGATGGCCTGCGAGTTCGGACTGGGGGCGGGGAACATCGACCCACCACCACCGGGTGTCAACCCGGTTCGCAAAGACGACTCGTTGGGAGTAGGGAACCCTCGTCCGATGCTGTCAAAGTAATCAGTCGAACCGGCAGGGCCAGCAAGCATTGCCGGACTCAGAGGTCCGGAGCGCAAGGAGTTCGGCCAATTGTAGCCCCCTGCGGAGCTGGTGCCTGGCAGTGCAGGCGACGTGAGGGCAGCAACAGGCGGCAGCAGAGACTTGCCGGGAGTCTCGGCGGAAGAAGTATTGCTGAAGGATTGTTCGAAGGGATTAGGCTCCAGCGAGAAAGGGTTGTGGACGGAATTGAAGTAGTCAGGCGTGTCCGCGGCGCTCGAGGCGGCCGGACGGGGAGGAGGGGCGAGGGATTGGGAGCCTTCTACATCGGTAGAAGGCTTTTGGTCTTTGTTCTCGGTGGAAGGTACCTGGGAGTCTGCCACGAGAAGTCAACTGTCAGCGCAAGTCCAACAAGAATTACTGGACAATGGACTGAAGAAAAAGGACTAATTATTTCCAATGCGCGACGACAGCGTACCCGTAGGGGGAGCAGTGTCTGACTTGCGAGGAGACCCTTCACTGGTGTTTCCTGTCGCAGCTACAGTTAGAGGGCGATCTGATAGTCGCACCAGATGATAAGGGTAATTGTGAGGTCATCCCGAAGGGGAGCAGCAACCCTGAGCCATCTAAAGCAACTTCGGCGGGCCACTAGACCCTCAAGGGGAAAGGGAAGAAAAAAAGACAGACGAGAGCGAAAATCAAAAAAAAAAAACTGGCAGCCAGATAGCAGCAACAAGACCCCAACAGCACGACAAGACGATTCTGAGAAGATATACAAACCTTCAGATTTTACGGGGTTCTTGGAGTCCATGGGCGACGAGGTTCTGCTTGGCGAATCACTCCGGGCGACGGCAGCGGACATGGATAACCTGGGGACGAAAGCAGAGGTCTCAGCGACCGGGACGAAGCGACACGACGCGTGACGACAGCACCAGAACAGCGACGAAGCGGACAGAAGAAAAAAAAATGGAAAGAGAAATAGAACGGGCGTCGAGCTCGAGGGCGTGCTCGATGGGTTTGCGGGCGTATGCGCTTGTCGAGCTGAAGCTGGTGGTGCTTTGACGCAGTACCAAGAACGGGTTTGGAGGGAAAGGGGAGAAGTTGTGACGTAGCCGGGCTCGACGGGCTTTTGGGGAGCGCGGGAGGGAGCGCTGCCGGGTCAGGGAGCGCTGGGTGACACCTGGTCGCTCGGTGCGAAAAAAGGCTAAGAACGGGCGGGCCTGGTCTCGCCTGTCACTGGTGGACCGCTGGAACGGCACGCGCAGGCAGTGCGGACGGTGCCAGCCGACCGCGCAACCGCGACCCTAAACGCGATTTCAGACGAAAAAAAGCTCGAGAACGAGCGAGTAGTTACGATCTCGCTCCTGGATGCGATTGCAGGTCGATGAAACAGCCCCCTCCAAAAAATGCAGCAGAGGATGCCGACCGACGAGGTGGTATGCGAGCTGAGCACTACTTGGCCACTACGGGAAAAGCGTTGGTGGATGTACGGGGACGATCGACCAATGACGAAGGCGGTGGCCGGAGCGGCACGACAGTCAAGAACAGAAGGCAACCTTGGGAATCAGCGAGTCTGGTGGGATGCAGAAACCCGGAACAAGGGTAGGCCGAACACCTCTGCTGAGATAACCAAGAAGGCGCCTTCAGCAGGCTCAGTGATGCGCGTAGGCGTGTGGGAGCTGGAGCGCAAGGGTGTCCTTCGATAAGGCAGGGTGCAGCGTGCAGAATCGCAGAACACGAGACGGGGAGGAAAAGAAAGTTGCAGGATGAGATCACGGTGACGACGAGAGGAATTTTTTTGGGGAGTGGTGTGGGCACGCAGACTGCCGACCGACCGTCGGGGGAATCGGGGCTGGAGGGGATCTGGCCCTGGTTAGGTAAGCGTGGCCACCTCGGGGACTGGAGACCGCACAGGGCGCGCGGTGATTGGCGGTGGCCGCAGGCTGGCCACTCAGCGCGAAGCCTGGGAGGAACGTTAAATCCGGCCGGACGAATGACGCGACGGCTGGACACCCGGCGGGTGGCGGCCACAGGCTTGCTGTGGGCCTTGTCAGTTGCGAACTGCGAGTGCGGCTCTCTCGCTGGTTGCGTCTCCCCGGGGTGGCCACCCGGGTGGGGCGTCACGGCACTGATTGGCCTGCATATGATGACGCAATGCCCTGCCGGCCGTTTGGGATAAGACCTAAGAAGCCATGTTTTTGATCAGTCCAACGCGACGAAGACCCAATTGATCATTCCCAGCCCAGAAGACGTCCTGTTTCTGCCACAGGCGCAGTATCAGTCCATCGAGTTGCGCATTCCTCGCCAATGAAAACAAGATCCAACGTAGTTGCAATCCACGGTCGGGTTGAGTCACGTGAGTCTATACCCGCCTTCAAGGCACTGGCCCCTTGCGACGTGGGCAATTGTTCCGACTTCCGGCGTAGTTTCGGAGGATCGCCATAGAAACATGAGACCTGGGGTCAGGCGATTGCTGTCAGATCTTCAGTTGAGCAGTTGCGATATGCACAGAGTAACCACTGGCAAGATCCATCACCTCATCCAGCTGCTCCTCCGCGTACGGATTAGGTAGAATCAGCAGTGTTCTAGAAACATGGAAGTCCGTACGCAATTAACTGGGCAGAAAACGCCATCTGAGTTTATGCATACACCAGCACAAAAATAGTGCCATCCAATCCCAAACTATCTAGGCACTTCGACGTTGTGGCACGCTGACACCACACCAACATTATTTTGCATTTTCCTCGCCCAACCGTTTAGCAGTATCATATTTTATCCCAAAAGAGAAAAATTAAGTGTAATGAAATTCCAGTGTATTTTTCCGATGGCGAACTGCTAGTGTTTACTCTGTACGGTGGATGCCATCCATGGTTCCAGAGAGGGGAGAAGGAAAATAAAAAAAAAGGGCCAAAAAAGAGGCCTTTTACCTAGAACTAACCAATCCATGGGCCGCCACCGCATGTAACTGTAATAGACATTTGATGTCTCGCATCGCGTGTGTGCCTAGGTAATTCACTATACCACCAGTTGTTGCCTTGGAGATCATACCATGGATTGCATTGTAGGCATCAAAAGCCAAGAATTGGCACTCGTTCATTACTTTCTTCTCTTCAATCCATTTTACGTACCTACATACCTAAGTAGGTAGGTAGGTAGCAAGTCGATGATGAATCCAGTCCGAAAGGGAGCCAATTTTGGTCTAGGGGACCGAATCTAACAAAGGTTATTTTTTTTCCTCCTTTATTATCGATAGCATGGTAGAGGAGGGGCCAGTTCATTGTTAATAACAATGACCTGTCTGTCCTGCAGCCTGCAGGTTCTTGTGGGTAGGTAGTCAATTTTCCCCACCGGACTTTATTGTGTACCACACTACTACATGGTCACGCTGCAATTAATGCGGTTGGAATGATGTTTTGTTGACCCGGATAGTCAGTCATATTTTAATTGAGAAATCGATGGGTGAATATCAGTTGATTACAGTTGTCTTGCTGCGAAAGAATCAAATTTTGAAGCTAAAGTGGCTTGGCAAATAATGTGCAATGATAGCAAGGGATATTCTGAGGGGGATGGACAGGCATATCTTATCGCGAGCGGGGCCAGCAATGCATATACGATATGCCACACACATCATTGTGGAGATCAAAAGATCGGGGATCAACGAACTCGCGCTTATCGATATGGTCTGATCTGGCATGATATCATCAACGGATCATGACTTGTCATCGGGAAATTATCTGCACTCAAGGTCCATTTCCAAATAAAGCTACTTCACTATTCTGTCCTTTAATATTGCGATACCGGGTAACTCTTGGTAGGTCGACATGGAATTGTATGTACAGTACAGACATACTGACGCTATTTCGGGTATCTTCTCTTTGCGAAATTGTTTCGGAACTCACATAGTTATTTTCCTTAGATTATTTTCCTTAGAATTTTGTCTGATCCATCTTTGTAGATATTATCACTACATCCCAGAGTATCAATGCCATCATATGAACGCCCTTTCTTTCAAGAATAGCATCAAAATATCCGCACCCTTGTATTCCTTTATCCGAATAACATCTCAATATTCCCTCTCGCTCTCAAGATCATCTCATCATTTCATTGAACGAGCTATTTTTTTTTCTCCTTCAAGATCCCCGATATGTCGAATAACTCCATGGACCCAGCAGCACTGGCACATGATAATGTCTCCATCCCTCCTCACCCTCGCGACCACGGCCACGAACGGTGAATTTGACCTCGACCTCGGGCCAGAAACTCTCAACTCCCTGCGCCTCGAACCACGGTCCTACCTCGAACCGGATCGCCCAATTGGTTTTGCTGTCTGGACTAGGAAGAGAAGAAAGAAGTGCCGGTACAGTTGTTGAAGATGATGAAGAAGGCGTCCAGGTCTTTATGCGCCCGTCGGAGTCTGTGGTGGCGTGAAATGTGGCAGTTTCACCGGATTGCGTGGGGGACAGAAGGGTCAGCGTGCAGGGCAGGTTGGCCGCAGGGGTCCCCGTCAGGGTGTTGAGCACGTGGCAGGTGATAGGGTCGCGGGACATTGTGGCAGCTCCTCGGTTAGGATCTGAGGAGGATGTAGAATTCGGTGATAGTGTTGGAGATGGCTGCGATGATGAAGCGCTCAGCTGGTGCTGGTAAAGCGAGAGGCGCTCTCCCACTTTGCCCAATTGACCGGGAGAAGATTTGGACTGATCCCTTATTTCCATATAAGTCGTGCAAAGAGCCCTCGATTCTTTGCACTGAATTGCTCAGAAATGAAAATCTTAAGGTGTTCTCGTGGGACTGGAGGAGTCTACAGAGTATTTAACTCCGATCCAGAGCATCGGAGGCCGCCGAAAGCTAGCTGAGCTTCGGAGTGGGGTTTAAAGAACCCCTCTACAGTGTACAGTACATTTTACATAGCTACCAACAGATTGAGAGCAAAAGCTTGTAATCAGAAACAATAGAATAAACAGTACCAAAACAATTATTCTACTAGTATTGATGTTCTATTTCTCTTTTCAGTATCAAGCCATTGCGATGCGGCTGATCTGGGGACAGCCGAAACCAGCCATCTCCACAACGTGACCGCCAACTGCCTTAGCCTTCCCGAAACTTCGATTGCCACGCTCAAGCTGTCGTGGCGGTGACTGTGTACCTGGCGAAAAGCTGCAGAGAAAGACACGGCTCGGCCATCCTGAGGCATTGGGCTTTCGCTCTTTTTTTTGTTATCGATTTCCTTGTCCTATCTTTATTTATCCTATACGGTCCGTACCCCACTCTTTCCACCGCGATGTCTTCCACCGCCCTGATCCACGACGAGGACGCCCTCGAACCCACCCTTCAGTCCATCATCGACCAGAAGACCCTTCGATGGATCTTCGTCGGTGGGAAGGGTGGTGTCGGCAAGACGACGACTTCCTGTTCGCTCGCGATCCAGCTCGCCAAGGTCCGCAAGTCGGTGCTGCTCATCTCGACCGACCCCGCACACAACCTGAGTGATGCGTTCGGGCAGAAGTTTGGCAAGGAGGCGCGGCTGGTCGACGGCTTTTCCAACCTGAGCGCCATGGAAATCGATCCGAACGGCAGTATTCAGGATCTTCTCGCAGGCAGCAGCGAGAACCAGGACGATCCCTTGGCTGGGCTGGGTATGAGCGGAATGATGCAGGATCTTGCATTCAGTGTAGGTGTTTCCCAGGACGCACTGCGCTTGTTCTTGCTGGATACTGATTGTAACAGATTCCCGGTGTCGACGAAGCCATGTCGTTTGCCGAGGTCTTGAAACAAGTCAAATCTCTGTCCTACGACGTTATCGTTTTCGATACGGCGCCGACAGGCCACACACTCCGCTTCCTGCAGTTCCCTACCGTTCTTGAGAAAGCCCTGGCGAAGCTCTCCCAACTGTCGACTCAGTTCGGACCGATGCTCAACTCCATACTCGGATCTCGTGGCGGATTGCCCGGCGGGCAGAACCTGGATGAACTGCTGCAGAAGATGGAGTCTCTACGCGAGACGATCAGCGAAGTGAACTCGCAGTTTAAGGACGCTGATTTGACGACGTTTGTCTGCGTCTGCATTGCCGAGTTCCTGTCGCTCTATGAAACCGAACGCATGATCCAGGAGCTGGCGAGCTACCATATCGATTCGCATGCCATTGTCGTCAACCAGCTGCTGTTCCCGAAGAAAGGCAACAATTGCGAACAGTGCAATGCCAGGAGGAAAATGCAGAAGAAATACCTCGACCAAATCGAGGAATTATACGAGGACTTCAACGTTGTGAAGATGCCGTTGCTCGTTGAGGAGGTTCGAGGAAAGGAGAAGCTAGAAAAGTAGGTCCATTTGCTAGCTCTCGCATCTTTTTCCCCCCTCTCGTTGGAACAGATAGCTGACTGCATCTACCTCATACAGATTCAGTGAGATGCTTGTGCATCCTTACGTGCCGCCGGAAGAGGACTGAATGATCATCTTTGGAAACGAACACGACTGTGATGTGTGATGTTGAAGACTACAAGGATGAACGATGAAAAAGAATGAATAGACATTAATATACATTTTCCCTACAATACTACAATACTCCATTGCGTTGTTCCACATTTTAGAAGATGCAGTCAGATGCTCTGGATATTGCCTTCTCAGCTGCGTAGACGGTAGCATTTTTTGCCCTTGAAGAGGGTGAAAAGGGTGGATAGTTCTCATTACTTCGCCGCAGCTACAGCAGGTACAGGTAACTATATTCAATCTTATTCTGAGCTCGCACCCATCTTTGCTGCGCTCTCGTTTCATTGCTTTCTGCATCATGCTGGCCAGAATTGTCGTTAATACAGGTAACTTCTGAGAGTGCTGGTTTCTCCTTTTTCCCACCTCTGACGAACCTGGGATCCTGGCACGAACATTAGTCACCTCAGAGTACCGCCAATAAGTTTGGATTCAAAAACTCACGATATCGAATTTTTTAAAAAAAAATAAATACAATGGACATTGTTGTACTCGGTAAATGATACCTACTTCGTATCTACAGTACCTTGGAGGTACCTACCTTACCTTAGGTAGAAGGCAGTAATAACGCTAAACCTAAACGGGAGAAGATCACAGTCCCCGAGGCCACTGTCCAGGAACTGGTAAGTAGGTAACTTGGTCTGTGCGTCTTTTTCCAAATCCGGATGGACGCATCTGTGGATTTCGGAATCAGGTTAGCCTAGCTGCCTTATCTGTATAGGTACCTTGGGGAACCCTTCCTGTAATGGATATGCACAATACCTCCCGTCTGCATTTGAATACATACCTACCTACCGGAATTAATATTCATGATGCTTAGAAGAACTAAAAAGGTTGGCTTTTTTTTTTGAGAAACTAGTCGTTGTCTCAGAAAGCCAATGAATGGGAAGTATTCCGTACAGTATTTGAGGTTTGTTGACATGCACAATACAGCCTAAATATATAATATAGAATAAAATCTAGAACTCTCCAGGTGAGATGTCTGCTGCTGCAGGCACCTAGGTTGGTCTAGCTTATACCAACAGGATGCGCTTTGTACCCTACCTACAGGGAAGAATAAAAAAAAATAAAGTTGCGATAGGTAGTAGTGAAGGGCTAAGTAACCAGGTATATATATATATCGAAATCGATATAACAGACAACAAATAATTAGGATCACAGTTGGACTTTACACACAGAATGTATGCACATGTATTTATATTTAACCCTTCCACTGTAGTATGGGCATCAACAAGGCTTATCAAAAGATCTAAGATGTTGCTGGCCTCACTTACAGGTAATCTAAATGCGGTGAGACAATATGGAAGATATTCCTAGTACTTAGGCTTCGGAGTCCTCATAGTTGACAGGCGGACAGACAAATGCCCTAGATTACTACATTTAGCCGGGATAAGTCGCGCGTACAGGCTTATTGAGAAGGGCACTGGGCGTTATGCTATATAGATAGAGATGTGGAAATGCCGTAGGAAGCGGCGTAATAATAAACCGCTCTTTTCTCCTCTGACTCCATTAACTGATTAAATAATGGCAGAGTCTAAACACATCCGATGATTTCCTCAATTAAAGACGTGAGGTGAGAACCTTGCCCACTAGCATCCTCCTATATATGAACAGGCTAATTGGAACACACATTTCTAGTAATATCGGCAAGGGGGTACCGGGATAATAGTTGGCAAGGTAACGTGATACATACACAAATGGAAAAGAATACGAAATACGCTGGAGGAAACGATTCTTCTTCACCCTGGTATCCTCACTATCCAATCCGGTACTGGTATCATCATCTGGACCTAGTGGCTGGCTGCGGTCCGAGTTGA